TATCTTCACAGGAACACGGTGACCCTTGTCAACTGTCCTAGTACATTAGAGTCAGTACAGTATGTTAGTGAAGCACATATGGTCTGGTTCTAATATGGCTGTGACATCATTGTGATGTAGAATTGAAAGGTACAAGATAAATGGTTTGATCATATTGTGGGGTGAGATACGGCGGAGGGGTTATCAATAATATTTCCCTTCTATTAACTCCATTTGGTCTGCGTGATCGTTCAATTTAAGCCTAATAAAAGCTGCTTTTGTTAGAGTTCCCTGACTAAATGTATAAAACCATTTTGGAGTTCATTTATTTTTGGCCCAGGCAAATTACTTACACAGAGAACTAAAACAGTCTATGTGGTCTATGACAGATGCGCTTTCAGGGCCTACAAATTGCTGCTTAAGGAGACCGTAATGGCAGCAGAGCTGATTTTAGGTTCTTCATACAGCAGGAAGAAAATATATCTCTGCTGTCGGAAGAAAACCTCGTATCTCCATCTCCATTTCCTTGAAACCACTTTTAGGAAAAAAATGAGTATTTAAAAACATTTTTTTTTATGTACAGTCCCAGTAAAGCTCACGGACCCCCAGCCATTCTGTAATAGTGATTCATAAAGATGTAACTGATCCCTAATGAGTGATTTGAAAAGATTCATTTCAGCCTCAATTTCAAATATAAAACTCAGAACCTGCGGCGGTGTCTGCAAAAGATTCAGCCGTGTGGTCCTGTTCATTAGGCGACCACTGCCAAAGCAGAAGACTAGAAAAAAGACCACTGCCATTCAGACAAAGTGAACTGAGAACACAACGGAGCGGACTGACGACAAAATGCTCCACAGACCACAACTACGATTCGGACAGAACGGGAGGCGTTTGAGGAGCTGTTAGAAGTTGCGACAGCGCAGTGCAGCTGGTAGAATCGACTTTCTGACCAGAAAGATCACTTTTTACACGAGCGTTATTATTAAGCGTCATTAACTCTCTTAAGGATTCACGTCCACGGAAAACAAAAACAAATAAAAAAAAAATAGAATATCAATAGATTATCAAACTAGAGCTCAAGACCTGTTAACTGTTGGACTTCGTTCAAAGAAACATGGTACCAGTAAAGAGCTTAATCTAAGATTTGCTTTGGATCTATCTGGGATGTAAATACACATTTCATCCAATCTCGATGGCTTCTATATGTCACTGCTGTCGGACGAAATTTGTTCCATATTTGTTGTTTTTTAGTTTTTGACATAATTTGAAAATGCCTGTTGCCCTTTACATTGTGTGTAAATTTCATGAAGAATTGACCAAAATAAACGGCCCAAAATGACTTGGAAAAAAGTTTGGTTCCATTGACTTACATTAAAAATAAAGTAGGTTTTTTCCTTCTCCTGTAAAGTCACCATTTTGGAGATACAAGGTGATATGTTAGGGCGGCATGGTGGCGCAGTGGGTAGTGCTGTCACCTCACAGCAAAAATGGCCTGGGTTCGATTCCCGGCTGGGCGACCAGGGTCATTTCTGTGTTTGCCTGTCGTCTGCGTGGGTTTCCTCCCACGGTCCAAAAACATGCAGTCAGGCCAATTAGACGTGCTAAAATTAGCCCCTAGGTGTGATTGTGTATGTCTGTCTGTCTGCTCTGCGATGGACTGGCGACCTGTCCAGGGTGTATCCTGCCTTCCGCCCGATGACAGCTGGGATAGGCTCCAGCGCCCCACCGCGACCCAGAAGGATAAGCGGTTTAGATGATGTATGTAAGGTGATATGTTATTATGTTAAAACATATTTAATTTAATTTACCACTATTTTACGTTATCAACATTACATTTAAAACCTCAGAAGAGATGTGTACCAATGTTCACTGTTGCTTTGAGTAGTAAACACACTAAATGTGTATGATTTTAAAGACAACACAACTCCTGGTTCCTATCACCACCACTGTAAAGAAATCTGAGTAAGTTTCTCTACAGTGAACCGCTTCACACCAAACCGCTCTGAACGGATTTATTCACATGTCAACCATCGGATTTGATGTTGCAGATTATTCACTGTATTAGTGAAGTTCCCCTTTAAGGCTGCAGCGGAGCTAAACAGGTGTTAATCCAGAGCAGAATTACCATGACATCAGGTTTCCTTTTATGATTGCATTACAGCACCCAGCAGGATGTCCATCAGCGCTTAACTGCATCTGTATTGACCAGCGTCAGCCTGCTCAGTTTGAACAGCGCTGGCCTATAAAACAATAAGAGAACATATTGACGTTGGCTGTGTTTCTAAAGCCACTTTCCCTCCCAGCAGGCCTGGATCTTGCCAAATTCACAGGACAAAAGAGCCATGCCACAACTTGACTGAGTTAAATAAGGAATAAATACAGGTGGAGACATTTAGGAGAATAAATTAAGCAGGTTTTTTAACCCCTGTGTGATGTTCAAGTCTGTGGGACCTGTTTTAAATGTTTACCAAAAGAAAAAATGATGTGATTTATTATTATTTCAACCTCAGATTCTTGGTCTTTGCTCATTTTCTGTGAAGAACATATAAAATAACCCATTTTCAGTGTCTTCACTCTGTTCACCCCCCACACATTTATATTACACATGTGGTGTTGGGAGTAAAAGTATGGAGGTGCTGTGTCCTTCACTCTGTTCTCCTCCTACATGGCCTGCTGTTAGTGTGTGTGTGTGTGTCTGTGTGTGTATGTGTTTGTATATATATGTGTGTGTGTGTTTGTGTATGTGTTTATTTATGAGTGTGTGTGTGTGTGTTTGTGTGTGTGTGTGTGTGTGTATGTGTGTGTGTGTGTGTGTGTGTGTGTGTGTCTGTGTGTATGTGTGTGTTTGTGTGAGGGTGGACAACATGGACCGGCTGCTGACTGGCTACAGCTGCTAAAGGAGAACCCTACGCTGGACACTTGTGATATTTTAAACATCTGGTGTTTTTACATAAATTATTATGGCTGTATTGATTTAAAACCCCATAATGTGGTGGGTCACCAGACCACTGAGTAACAAATACATCAACACCACACAAGAGTTAATGTAAGTTAACTACAGCAGAGAGGAAAAGTGCAGAGGGCTGAAGAAAAATGACAACAGCCTTCAGACAAGAAATGCAAATGAGTGCAGTAAGGTGTTAAGCAAGGTACTGTGCTGAAGTGGGTCTTCAGAACAGAATGAGGTCATTTAAAGGTAGGTATTTTATTGAAAGAGGTGTCTAAACATCATGCTGGTCATTTTTGTGGCCATTGTGGCATTTAAAGAGAGAAAAATGCCACCTGGTGATCTTAAGGTTGTATTTGTCTTTATTCTCTTCTGCAAGCATCTTTAAGACGTGGCTGCGGTGACTGGACAAACAAAACCTAAACACTTCAATGTTTGCAGTTGTCTTTAGAGTGTCCATTGTAACGGTCACCTACAGTGAGGGCAAACAAGCCTTGAGACACTTTGGTCTTTGTTATGTAATACTTAACATGTATATATGTAGAGTTCATTTACAAAAACAGATCTCCAGTTTAATTCATTTTCATAAATCATAAAAAGTTCTTTTTTTATTGGACATTCCATCAATCAATAATATCAAACTGTGGTTTGTTTTGGTTAAGTAAAAATAACAAAATACAGGTAATTTACAAAATTAACCCTTGTGTGGTGTTGATGTTGTTACTCAGTGGTCTGCTGGACCCCCCACAGTATTGTTTTTTAAATCAATACAGTCATAACAATTGAATCAGGACTCGTCCATGGGCGCCCTCTGCTGTTTTGCAGTCCTGGTTTGATATAATGGGGGAAATATGAAGTGGCCAGTGCTCCTCATAAACCGGCTCTGGTTATACTCAAAATTAGCTTAAACTGTGACCACCAAAACAGTCACTACTGAAAACAATGGGTAAAGTTTTGATAGCGTTTGCTTTATTAGTGACAAAATAGAATGTTCAAGCATTTGTTTTAATATAATAGGCAAAATCAATGTACAGGGTCACTCAAAGCAAAAGGATTTTAGTCTGAAGTCCAAATCAGTTAAAAGTCTGAAATGTGTTTCCAACTCTGAACCAATTCGGTGGAATGATCCATACATCACTGTAGTCGGAAGAAAACCTTGCATCTCCATTTCTGATGTTTTTCAGTTTTTGACATAATTTGAAAATGACTCTTACTCTTTACACTGTGTGTAAATTTCATGATGAATGGACCAAGAGAAATGCCCTAAAATGTCTTGCAAAAAAGTCTGGTTCCATTGACTTACATTAAAAGGAAAGTAGGTTTTTTCCTTCTCCTGTAAAGTTACCATTTTGGAGATACGAGGTTTTGTTCCGACAATAGCGATATAAAAGTTTGTGTTTGTCCAGTCAGTTTACTGGCCTTTAGGGTACTAAAAATGCTATATATTTATCTGTTTGATTGCTTTTATTATTATTATTATTATTATTATTATCATTATTATTATTATTATTATTATTATTATTAAGCTTGAGCACTATTTTGTTTCCTTTTTTCAAATATAGTTGGTATCATTGCATGGCAGTGCCAGTTGAGGTCAAAACTCAGTACATTGCCGTGACAGAAAGGAAAAGGAACTGCTCAGTGTTCTTTGCCCACCCTTGTTTTTTCCTCACTGTTCTTTTAGGGATGCCACATTTTTATAATAATCAGAGAAGCGGTGATTGTGGGAGAGCCAGTGTGTGATTAGTGCACAGTGCCATCAGAAAATATGACTCAAAGATTCCGGTTCACTGTGGCAACTGGCACTTTCACATCACTTACCTTCAGATAAAGAAAGTAATTCATTCCTGGAGAAACTGGAAGCCCAAAATAATGGCAGGGGGAAGGAACACGCCCCTCCCTGCTGCTGATGTATGGAGTTTTCTGACTGGTTTTTGTGACGTGCGGTCGTGGCGTAACTTTCTCACTCTTTGAAAATGCTGAATATCAAGTTCTTGATCTCCAAGCTGTTCCTTGAAGTTGTGCGAGATGCAGTCATCTCATTTCCTGCTTTTTAGGCTCCTCCTCGTTTCTGGCTTGAGATGAGTTTGAACTGGCATTCAGATGGGGACAAGTAAAGCATACGAGGACTGGAGGACTGAAGACAAGGAGACTAACAGACCATCCTGAGGAACCTGAAATGTATGTATCCTGAGTTTTAACCACTGTTATCTAAAGCTTGTGTGGTTTTAGTGAATAGTTGAACTTCTCTGTGAAATAATGGGCTGTTTTTGATATAAGAATAAAGCAAGATGCAGACTGACTTGCGATAAGGAGACAAATACAAATTAGAATGTGTGACTTATTAATCTTTTACCAATTCAATGCATCATTGTGTACTTATACTATATTTATTTATAAAATATCACTGCTGTTGGAACAAAACCTCGTATCTCCATTTTTGTCGTTTTTCAGTTTTTGACATAATTTGAAAATGTGTGTTGCCCTTTACAATGTATGTAAATTTCATGATGAACTGACCAAAAGAAACAGCCCAAAATGACTTGGAAAGATGTCTGGTTCCATTGACTTACATTAAAAGTAATGTTTGTTTTTTCCTCCTCTTGTAAAGTTGTCATTTTGGAGATACAAGGTTTTGTTCTGACAACAGCGATATATATATACATTTGTGTGTGTGTATATATATATATATATATATATATATATATATATATATATATATATATATATATATATATATAAATGAACAGTGCATTTAGAATGTGTAACAATTAATCTTTTGCCAATTAAACATATCACTGTATTTAGTAAATAAATTTTATATCACATATATATATATATATATATATATATATATATATATATATATATATATATATGAAAACATTGAATTAAGAATGTAACTGTTTTTAATGTTACCAATTCAATGTATCGTCATGCATTTCATGAATATATTTATTTTATATCAAATGAAAGAACATTAAATTTCCTCTAAGAATGATGTACAATACAGACTTGTAATTAGGCATTAAAACCTCTTTGAAAGTGTAATTGTTACAATCAGTTGACAATTATGTTGAAAAAAAGGCTTAATAAGCTATATTTAATTAATAGAATGTATCACTGTTGTTGGAGCAAACCTCGTTTCTCCAAACTGGTAACTTAACAGAAAAAGGAAAAAACATACTGTAATTTTAATGTAAGTCAATGGAACCAGATGTTTGTCCAAGTAATTTTGGGCCGTTTCTTTTGGTCCAATCATCATGAAATTTACACACAATGTAAAGAGCAACCGGCATTTTCAAACTGTCAAAAACTGAAAAACATCAAAAAAAATGGAAATACAAGATTTTGTTCCTACAGCAGCGACATTATTGAAATCTGTTAGATGTTTAAATCCAATATATCATTATACATCAGTATAGTCAGTGATATTGACTGTTTCAATGCCTGCTTACCTTCTTAACTCTTCTAAATGAAGGTAAATATACCACGATTCAAAAACATGTCATGTTTATTAAAATAATACTCAGTTTAAGTTTAAAAACATAGCATCATTAACTTCATTCAACATCTATATTTTCCTTATAACATTTCTAATCTTAATAAACGGAAAATTAAATAAGATCACACTGATATAATAACAACATATTTGCCCTGGAGGAAGCAATTAGGGTCTTCGGTGCTGACTCTAAAGTTACGTGTCAAAACCAGCCTCAGATCCGTCAGCTTTTCCTTGTCAGCGCTGTTGTTTTCGCACTTAGTCCAGTGAGCATTTATGCTTATTCCATTACTGTGAGCCAAAGGTTGTGTGTTGGTTTCACAGCCGAATGAAAGAGTGTCACACCTACGTTCGCAAATAGACTGAATAACACTGCTGTCCTTGTGTCACATCGCTCTCAGAGCTCTTGGCTACAAGCCTTAACCCTTGTGTGGTGTTGATGTGTGTGTTACTCAGTGGTCTGGAGGACCCACCACATTATTGTTGTTTAAATCAATACAGCCATAACAATTTATGTAAAAGTACCAGATGTTTGAAATGTCACAAGTGTCCAGCGTAGGGGTCTCCTTTAGCAGTTGTAGCCAGTCAGCAGCCTGTCCATCTTGTCCACCCTCACACACACACACACACACACTTTATATGTTCTTCACAGAAAATGAGCAAAGGCCAAGGAATCTGAGGTTGAAATAATAATAAATCGCATAATTTTTTCTTTTGGTGAACATTTTAAATAGGTCCCACAGACCTGGACAGCACACAAGGGTTAAAGGGACACTCTGACCATAAAAGGCTGGCTGGCTGGAAAGTTGAGATGTTTTGATTTTTCTTTTTTTTCCGCTAGCTGGCTAATTATTCAACTGAGTTAGGCCAGAAACCTGCTCAATACAAGAAAACGAATGCAAATGACAACAGACCTGCTGTACAATCTCACCATGCATTCTTACATCACTGTGGCCGTTTAGACACTTAGTATTCAAAGGGGCGACAGAAGACGAATCAGCATGTGTGTAAATGGTAGCTATGGTCACTCCAACAGCCACAACTGTGCTGCTTTATTTATTCTATTGGAATGAAGAGGTGATGACGTTTCATATACACCAATCAGCCATAACATTAAAACCACCTCCTTGTTTCTACACTCATTGTCCATTTTATCAGCTCCACTTACTATATAGGAGCACTTTGTAGTTCTGCAGTTACAGACTGTAGTCCATCTGTTTCTCTGTATACTCTATTACCCTGTTCTCCAATAGCCAGGACCACACATGTAGTACGAGTGGAGTTTTTAAACAATGTGTCTACTTACTGTCCACTCTATTAGACACTCCTACCTTGTTCGTCCACCTTGTAGATGGTCATTGTGTTGGTCATCCTCTAGTCTTTCATTAGTGGTCACAGGACGCTGCCCACAGGACACTATTGGCTGGATATTTTTGGTTGGTGGACTATTCTCAGTCCAGCAGAGACACTGAGGTGTTTAAAAACTCCAGCAGCACTGCTGTGTCTGATCCACTCAGACCAGCGCAACACACACTAACACACTACCACCATGTCAGTGTTACTGCAGTTCTGAGAATGATCCACCACCCAAATAGTGCCTGCTCTGTGGTGGTCCATGGGGGTCCTGACCATTGAAGAACAGGATGAAAAGGACTTAATTCTGACAATTGACATGCAGCTCGATTCCAGTCATTTCAATAGCAGATACACTGCATTTATCACCCATTTAATCCCAATGTTTTCCCAGCTATGTGAGTACATGACTTTGACACAAACTACAGGCCTTTTCGGAAAATATAGGAAAGTATAGGAAAATATAAACCAAAATATAATGTTACTGTTAAAAAAAAGTAGCATTCTTAGATTTTAATGTAGGTCATTTGAGCAAAATTTAATTTTAAGTCATTTTAGACTGTTTCTATTGGTCCAACCATCATGACATTGTGACATAAATGGCAGTTGGTGCTGTCAAATTATGTAAAAACACAAAAAAGACAAAAGTGGTGATTTCAGTAACAAACACTGGCACCTCAAACAGTTAACCAAGTACTCATTTACATCTTTAATGAACATGTAATGCCATTTATACATTAGGAGTAAGCAGAAAACACAGTAAGTATTGTTTTAGTTAAGGTTTTACAGTCACACTTGTAGCTGGTGGGATTCAACAGGTGAACAGTACAGGTTGAGTACAGTTATGTTTCTAGCTGGTTATTTTGCTGTTATATATTCCATGACTGAAACAAACAGGGCCAGCTGGGCATACCGGGCAAAAAGGCTGATTCCAGCTGAAGTAAACATCCCATCGATATCTTTTAAGCAACATACATGTGACCTCTTTTATGATATTCCACACTCTGCGGCGTGTGCGTTAGGTACTGTGTTTGCACAGTGTGTGCTGGTGTGACTTGGCCAGCAATGGCAAGTTGACTAAATGGGTGGTGATGTTATCTGTGACAGTTACACACTTCAGCTTCCTGCTTTTAGAATATTTAAGCTCAGCCTAGTGTACATTTTAAAAGAGTCTTACTTTCCACCTTCCAGCTGACCAGAAATCAGCTTGCAAATAAATTGTCAGTCAAGTTGCTCAAGTGGTTTTTCTGAAGGTGCATCCTGGAAACATGACTAGTCCAGTCTAGTGAAGTCCCAGCTGTCAAGTGAGGAGCTAATTAACAAGAATACAGTATTTCTCTCTGAGAATATTAGTGAATGTATCAATAAATCGGTCATCCAGTCAGTTTGAGCTGATAGTCAGAAAAGAAGCACCATCAAAACTTCACTTTCCTCAACATACAGTTCAATAATAGTAATAAATACTACTACTACAACTACTACTAATAATAATAATAATAATTTTTATTTTTATAGCACTTTTCATGCCAGTGGCAGCTCAAAGTGCTTTACAGACAGGTGATAAAGCTTAACGGCAATACAAGAAAATATATGTATTAATTTAGAATAAGAAAATGACAGATCAAATTAAAAAGATAAACACCACGAGACGTAGAGACTTAATTAAATACAAAAAGTTAAAGAGATGCGTTTTTAGATGCTTCTTAAAAGTGAGCACTGAGCTTGACTGTCTAATAAAAGGTGAATTGAGCTCCACAGTTTAGAAGCAGAATAACTGAACGAGTCTCTCCACATTTTCTGTATTTTACAGAGGGTGTTTTCAGAAAGTCAGTATCTGCAGATCTAAGATCATAAACAGACAGACACTCTGTGATGTAAGCGGTGCTTTAAGATCATTTTGAGCTTTAAAAACTAGTAGCAGAACCTTAAAATCTATCCTGAACGATACAGGCAGCCAGTGCAGCTCTTTTAAGGCAGGAGTGATCTGATCTCTGTGCTGTTTTTGTTAGGATGCTGCGGGATTGTGTACGAGTTGTAAGGGATGTATTGTTTTCTCCAGTTAGGAGATCATTACAGTGATCAACTCTGCTTGTAACAAACGCATGAACAAGTTTCTCTGCGTCGCTCTGAGACAGAAAAGGCTGAACTTTAGTGATATTTCTCAGTTGATAAAAAGCTACTTTAGTGACTGTTTACATGCAGATAAAACAGCTCAGAGTCTAAGATCACACCCATGTTTCCTACTTCAGGTTTGGTATATGGAGCTAAAGAACCAAGTTTCTCATGAAGCAGCTTTCTCTGTGTTTTTAAACAAACGATCAATATTTCAGTTTTTTCATGATTTAATTGTAGAAAATTTGCAACATCCACTGAGAAATATCTGACACACAGCTGGTCAGGCTGTCTACAGAGTCTTGATCATCAGAAGGAATGGAAATGTATAACTGGGTGTCGTCAGCATAGCTATGAAAATTTATATTAGGCTTCCTAATGACATCACCTAGAGGTAGCACATCACCTAGAGGGAGCAATGGGATGGTTCTGTAATTCATAATCTGAAGGAAGCAACCTACTCTATTAGGAGGAAAGGAGCAGCAAAGATATAATGAGGGACAAAAGTTGTTGAGGTAGGTTTGTTCTTTACTGCTTCCAGAAGCTTCCACAGGCTTTTGTGCCATTCGGTTTTAATGAAAGGCCATAAGCATGTTTAAACTATACAGGCCCAGAATGGGACTTGGTTTTCAGACCAGGAGTTACATGCAGGCCCCCAGCTTTTGCACTCCAAAGTGCATCCCGGAAGTGAGCTGCTTACACTTGAGAGAAGCTCTCCATTCGTTTCAGGCTGAATTCAGTTTAAAGATAAAGGCTCACCTGTTTAGATCACCTCACAGGCCTGTCCTCTTGTAAAGAGGCAAGACTGTCTCATTCGATCCACAGACTTGATTATCACTTTATAGATTCAAAATAAACCATGTTTATTACAATTAGCAGGGCGGGGCCACTTCAGGTGGGGGCTGCTGGTTGGACACTTGGATATAACAGTTTATTGTGTGCTCATAGTTTCTATTGTATGAGTTTGTACATTAGCTCACAGTAACCGGCCCAAAACATTATCGGCCCATCATTAATTCTCCCGTCCGTCCCAATTACCCACTCCGACACTGCAAAGGCCTCATCATTTGCAAAAACAGACCATCTGCAAACCATCATTTGCGAAAATGACTTTTCCTTTATTAGGGTTTAGTGTAGACCAGAGCAGGATTCATTACGTAACCAACGGGTTTAATTTAAGGCAGATTTAATTGCTTTGTTTATTTCAGTACTACCTTAAATTAAAAATGATGGATCAGCCAACCAAATTTACAAATTTCCCCCTTACCCCAAATGTAGTCCATCAACATTGGGTGTCTAATGTTTTGAACTGGGGCTAGGAGGCTAGCTAACAAGAAGTTTATACCTTACCAATTAGCATTGTGCAAGCTGCAAACTTAAATAATCTCACTCTCACCTAAAATAGCTTTAAGTTATTAAGTACAGAGCTTAACAACTTGGGAGTCTGGCCACTTCCTATTTCCCCCGTTATGTCAAAAACAGGACTGCAAAACAGCAGAGGGCGCCTGCGAGTGAGTCCTCAATGAATGGGAGTAAATAAAGTTCAACGGCTGAAAACGAAAAGTTAAAATAGTTTCTAATCACTCGCCCAGAACCTTCCTTTAATTTTAGAAGATGTATTTAGGATGTATTTCACTAAAAAAGCAAAGAAAACTCACCTGTATGTTTCCGTTTTTACAACAAACAGGTTTTGGGCAGCAGAACGCTGACGTTACTGCTAGTGAGTGCTGATTGGTTGGCGAGCGGAGCAGCTCATTGGCTGTTTGTGCTCACTGACTTTATGAACGTGCATGAGGTGCCTTTTTAAACTCCTATAACTCGAGTTTAAAAGCTCTATAACAGCAGTGTTAAAATGTTTTATGTTCACAGTTCAGGAAATAAATGTATTTTTACATTAAAAATGTTTCAGCATTTATAAACTATGATTTTGCTCAAATGCTCCATCTTAACCCATTTATTTTTGGTCTCGCTCAGGAGCGCCCTCTAGTGTCTGAGAAACCCAGAAGACATTACAGAGTGAATTGTCCTCTCTACAAGTTCTCTGGTTACGTTTCTCAAATAGACTTGCTTATTTGGCTTCTGACATTGTACAACATACTGTTATCTATAAAAATGGACAAAAGTAGACAGGCTTCAAGATGGCTGGTACTACCGTTTTTAGCACTTTTGCCCATTTTTTATAATAACAATATGACACAGTGAAACAAAACATAAGCAAGTATGTTTGAGGCCATGATTTGAAGCCAGTGCATATTGATTTAGGCTTACAGTTGGCACAGTGCTAATTCATGGGGCTAGATACTTGATCTTCCACTACTTGTTAGCTACACTAGCCTCATTTGTCCAGTGCAGGCCTAAAGAAGCTAACTTTAGACACCAAACAAGTCTTGGCTGATTGGAGTAAGTTTAGCTGTAATACTGCTTTCAACTGCAAACAGGGAGGTAGTTTTCTCTGAGCAGGAACTTATTCACCCAAAGTGTGCATTCATGTGGTTTATGTGAGAGAGAAACAACACTGAGTTTGTGAAATGGCTGTAGTTTATTAACCAGCTGGCACCTATTTCACTCATATGAAGCAAAAATAAAATGTGTGAAACTGTACATGTTTCAAATTCACTTTACAATGACCCTCATATTTGTACAGTTTATCTGACTGTGTTCCATTGTTTGACTGATTGCTTCTAAACTTAATCATGACGAAAACAGTGTTCACGTCACAACTCGGCCAATTCGTCCCGCGTCAGAAATTTTGATGTATCAGATGTAGCCATCTGACTTCGAAGGAGGTGCCTTCTGGTGGGAAACTTATTCATTTTAAAAACTGAGACCACTTGATAGCAGCGTTAGTGTGTGTTTTGGACAAAACCATCACTTTGAGCCCAGTTAGCACACTTACCTTTAAATGCAGCTTGGTTAATTTTGCTCAAAGTGACTCCAAGTTGAAAATTTGAGTCTGCTTGGCCTACACAGCATTTTCCTCAATGTTTCTTTAAGACAATCACCCAGAACTCAAGACCTGGAGGGCCACACCACAGTGTTTGCCCTCTTCTAACAGACCAAAGTCTGAGGAAGGCCTTGGTAATGAGCTGATGAGGTCCTGAATGCTGCTTTGCTGTGGCCCTCTAGGCTACGTTCACATTACAAACCTCATTGCTCAAATCTGATCTCTCTGACTCGATGGTTCACACTCGTTTGGGTAAGTGATTCAAATCTGTCATTAATGTGAACAAACCAGCGTCCTGAAATGACCCGCATGAGCTCATCCTACTCAGTAACGTCACGTGAATGAATCACTGCATCATCAGCACAAACTAACGAGCAGAACGAGCTTCGCTGAGAAGATAATTAACTCTGATCAGCTCTCAGCTTCATTATTAGAGCGAGACGAAGGAGAAAAGGGTGAGCTGCTTTTCCACCGTTTACAGGCTTTAACTTCTGTTCGTCGCTGCTGCCATGGTAACGCTGAATGATGGCGCACACAGAGTGGAAAAAAAGCACATGAATTCTGATCTGAGCATCACATTAAGGTCACATGGACACGAATCGGATCCAATCTATGACCACATATGAAAGTGGCTCAGGTCAGATTTGAACAGATCAGATTTGCATGTCCACACAGCCCTGAAAACATCAGATCTGATTCACATTAGGGCAAAAAATCAGATTTGTGCCACTTCAGCCTGGTAATGTGAACGTAGCCTTAGATCATATCTGCACCTTCCCCTGGATAAGGATCCCTACAGAACCTCACCAGAACTTTACAAATGGCTCAACAGCCAATAAAATATATGCAATTATCAGTCAAATGTGTGTCAACAAGCAGTGAAGGATTAGATTAGTTGGTCACAGATGTGAAGCCCTTAAGCTGAATGGAGAATGAATTGAGAAGCAAATACTATTTTCAGCAATTAAGTTGCAAAATGAATCTTATGTCTGTTGGGGCGTGTTTGGATGATAACTAAGCTGTTTCTTCTTCCAGGCAACATGGAGGAAACACGGTGGAGCATGAACTTCTCAAACCTTGATCTTCTACCAGCCATTACGTTCAGCAGTCACCAGCTTTCTCTTGTGATTATGGCCAGAGAATTCTCACAGAAGCAGTGTTAGGTCAAGGAAGAGAGAAGAAGCGGAAGAGTAGAGGCTCTGGCCATGCGTGGCAGGCTCTATGACCTCTTCCTGGTCAATGTGTTGACGTGTGGGCTGGAGATATGCATGGCCACTGGAACCATCTACATCCCTCCCATGCTGCTGGAGGCTGGGATGGAGGAGCGCTTCATGACCATGGTGCTGGGTAAGTGAGGTCCCCTCAGAGTGTAGCGTTTGTTTCTCATTTACCTGGATAAAGCGATAGTTAGGTGACAAATCTCTTTAGCTCGAATGCAGTTGATTAGCCAAGACAAGTGGTGGAAGCTTACACACTTTAAAAAGATGGTTCTTCAAGGGTTCTTAAGTAAAGCCAGTAGTTGTATTTGGAGCAATGAGTTCAATATAGAAGCATTTCATGCTTAAATGGATTTTTGCATGGTGAAATGGTTCCTCAGATTGATGGACAGTGTGTTGTATATGACTGTAAATAGAACCTTTTTGAAAATGGTTCTATGTAGCACCAAAACAAGAAGAACCACAGCATGCAAAGAACCATTAGAGTATAAAATAGTTTATATATATATATATATATATATATATATATATATATATATATATATATCAGGGATCTAAATAGAACCATTGTCTTTACTACAGATCTCTTGAAGTGTGTTCCCATACCCTACCTATTAGCATTGAGCAACACTGTGACAGATGGTTCTTCAAGGGTTCTTTAGTAGAGGCAATGGTTCTATTAGAACCATGTGGATCTTTACAGGGTTAAATGTTCTTCAGATTAAAAGAGAATGTGTTGTATATGACTATAAATAGAACCTTCTTAAAAATGGTTCTATGTAGCACCAAAACAGGTTCTTCTATCTGTTTGGCGCTGCTGCCATGGTAACGCTGAATGATGGCACATGTGCGGTGGGAAAAAAGCACATGAATTCCGATCTGAGCGTCACATGGCCACCAAGTGGATACGTATCCGATCTAAGACCACATATGAAAGGCTGCGTTCACATTACCAGGCTGAAGTGGCGCAAATCAGATTTTTTGACCTAATGTGACTCAGATCTGATGTTTTCAGGGCTGTGTGGACACATCTGATCTTTTCAAATCCAACCTTAGCCACTTTCATATGTGGTCCTAGATCGGATATGTATCCAATTCGTGGGCATGCGACCTTAATGTGACGCTCAGATCGGAATTCATGTGCTTTTTTTCCACTGCGTGTGCGCCATCATTCAGCGTTACCATGGCAGCAGCGCCGAACAGACGTTAAAGCCTGTAAACGGTGGAAAAGCAGCTCACCTCACCTTTTTCTCCTTCGTCTCGCTCTAATAATGAAGCTGAGAGCTGATCAGAGTTAATTATCTTCTCAGCGAAGCTCGTTCTGCTCCTTAGTTACTGAGCAGGATGTGTTCATGAGGGTCATTTCAGGACACTGGTTCGTTACGTTAATGACAGATTTGAATCACTTACCTAAACGAGTGTGAACCATCGTGTCAGAGAGATCAGATTTGAAGAAAAAAAATCGGATTTGAGCATCGAGGCTTGTAATGTGAACGTAGCCAAAGTGGCTCAGGTCGGATTTGAAAATATAAGATTTTCGTGCCCAAACAGCTCTGAAAACAGATCTGAGTCACATAAATTGGATTTGTGCCACTTCAGTCTGGTCATGTGAACGTAGCCTTCAGCCTGGTCATGTGGTACATCCTTACAAGTGTTGCTTACATGAAATAATGTTAGGGTAATTTCTGTAAAGCAAATTATTGTTTAAAAATGTAAATCTGGATTCACACCCCCCTTGTTGCTGTTTATACACCGGCTTTTACCAGGACGTTTTTGTTGACTGTTATGTTTACCTGAAACACTTACTGGAAATTCAAGGTGTTGAATCATTCACTGTATTATAGAAGATTAGGGAGAAACAAACAGTTGTCAGTGAAAACGCCCTGTGCAAAGGTTTTTCATTTCCAGCCAAAGCGCCCATTAAATACAAAGTATACATTTTTCAGGAAAATTTCTGAGAAGATTAGATACAAGATAATCCACTCGCAGAAGCTTGGGGAAAGTAAATAAACAGTGCAGTTTAGTTTAGTACAGTTTACTTTCCAAAACTTGAGTTGATTAAAAGATACAGAAAAAATGGGAGCTTTAGCAATCTTGTAAGACCTGGTCACCAAACCTGTCGCCCCTCAGATAAACAGCTCTAAAAAGCTTCCATCTCTGAGAGAGAGGAGAAAATCAAGCTGCTTCAGATCTGAAAACATCCACAGGTGTTTCTGTCTATCCTTCCACTGTGAGAAGACGACTCAGCGCTGTGGGTCTGAAAGGATGTGTAGCTGCCAAGAAGCTGTTACTGAGAAAAGGAAAAGAAAATTTGCTAATTAACCCTTGTGTGGTGTTCAGGTCTGTGGGACCCATTTTTAATGTTAGCCAAAAGACAATAATGTAATTTATTAATATTTTAACCCCAGATTCCTTGGCCTTTGCTCATTTTCTGTGAAGAACATACACCGATCAGGCATAACATTATGACCACCTCCTTGTTTCTACGCTCATTGTCCATTTTATCAGCTCCACTTACTATATAGGTGCACTTTGTAGTTCTACAGTTACAGACTGTAGTCCATCTGTTTCTCTGCATACTTTGTTAGCCCCCTCTTACCCTGTTCTTCAGTGGTCAGGACCCCCATGGACCCTCACAGAGCAGGTACTATTTGGGTGGTGGATTATTCTCAGCACTGCAATCACACTGATGTGGTGGTGGTGTGTTAGTGTGTGTTGTGCTGGTCTGAGTGGATTAGACACAGCAGTACTGCTGGAGTTTTTAAACACCTCAGTGTCTCTGCTGGACTGAGAATAGTCCACCAACCAAAAATATCCAGCCAGCAGCGTCCTGTGGGCAGCGTCCTGTGACCACTGATGAAGGACTAGAGGATGACCAACACAAACTGTGCAGCAGCAGATGAGCTATCGTCTCTGACTTTACATCTACAAGGTGGTCTGACAAGGTAGGAGTGTCTAATAGAGTGGACAGTGAGTGGACACAGTGTTTAAAAATTCCAGCAGCACAACACACACTAACACACCACCACCACATCAGTGTAACTTATTTATTTATGCTGACCTGGTGCTGGTTTAGCTGGTCACCCAGCATGGTCATGCTACTGACCAGCATATGTTACACAACATTTCACTGCTGTCAGAACAAACCTTGTATCTCCAAAATGGTAACTTTACAGGAGAAGGAAAAAACCTGCTTCACTTTTAATGTAAGTCAATGGAACCAGACATATTTCCAAGTCGTTTTGGGTCGTTTCTTTTGGTCCATTCATCGTAAAACTTACACACAATATAAAGGGCAACAGGCATTTTCAAATAATGTCAAAAACTGAAAAACGACAAAAATGGAGATACGAGGTTTTCTTCCGACAGCAGTGATATGCTGGTTTTGCTGGTGACCAGCTTTGCTCTATGCTGTTGTTTAACTTCATTCTAACTTCATTCTGTATTTTTGACTTCCCTCACAGCCGTCGGGCCTGTACTGGGGTTAATATTCATTCCACCTATCGGCTCGGCGAGTGACAGCTGGAGCAGTCGTTATGGACGCCGGCGTCCTTTTATCTGGGCCTTGTGCGTTGGTGTGCTGCTTGGACTTGTGGTCATTCCCCATGCTCCCCAAATCGCTGCTCTTTTTTCTACACAGCACCACCAGTGGCTGGAGGTCCTGCTCCTGGTCGTTGCTATCTGCGTCATGCAGTTCTGCGGACAGGCCTGCTTCACCCCTGTGGAGGCCCTGGTGTCGGACCTCTACCCTGGAGAGGAGGAGAGCCGTAGGGCTTTCTCCGTCTACTCCCTGATGCTCAGCCTGGGTGGCTGTGTGGGCTACCTGCTGCCTGCTGTGGACTGGAGCACCCTGGGTGCCACGGCCTACCTGGGAGGCCAAGAGGCCTTCATTTATTCTCTCCTCATCGTCATTTTCCTCATCTGCCTGATGACCACAACCTTCATCTCAGAGGAACAGACAGCAGGGCTTGGAGGAGGTGGGCTAGAGGTGTCCAGGAGAGTTCCAAGCTTGTGGAGCTTCTGCAGTTGGCCGCGCCGATTGTTCTCATTGACTCAGCTCCTGAGGCGGACCCTGACTAGCCTCCTGTCTGTGGTGCCGAGGTTCTATTCGCTGTGCAGCAACATGCCTGCGGTCATTGCAAGGCTGTTTGTGGCTGAGCTGTGCAGCTGGATGGCTCTTATGACTTTTGTGCTGTTCTACACAGACTTTGTCGGGGAAGGCTTGTATAACGGAGTACCAAGTGCTAAGCCTGGTTCCCCGGAGAGGATCCGCTATGAGGAAGGTATGCTTTTTCTAAGCGATATGCTTGTCTTATACTAGTGTTTTTCACCTTGGTACCCAGATCCGCCAGACAGTCCTTTTTTTATCTGACAGTGCTCATCCTAGATAATACTGCTGGCTGATGTACAAAGTACCTACATACAGGTGTGTGAGCTGCACTCCAGATATAAATTGATTTTATTAATATAGAAAATATGAAAACACCTCTCAAGCTTATAGATAAAGAATTTACATACAGTACTGTGTAAATGTCAGAGACCAGCTTTCATTTCCAGTAAAACTGACCATTAAGTACATTTTTTTTTAGATATTTCCAGGGAGGTGTGATGTAAGATGATGCACTTGCATAAGGAACTGGACACTCGAAGGAAAACAATTCCTTACTGAGTCCTAAATGTAAAGAGCAAACACATTTAAACACAACCCCCTTTCCAAAAAAGTTGGGACGCTGTGCAAAATGTAAATAAAAAACAAAATGCAATGTTGTGCAAATCATTGAAACTCTATATTTTATTTAAAATAGTACAAAGACAACATATCAGATGTTGAAACTGAGAAATTTTATTGCTTTCTGAAAAATATGTGCCCCTTTTGAATTTGATGCCAACAACACGTTCCAGAAAAGTTGGGACGGGGGCAACAAAAGGCTGGTAAAGTTGTGTAATGCTAAAAAAAAAAAACATCTGGTGGTTGATTGGCAACAGGTCAATAACATGATTGGGTATAAAAGAGCATCTCAGAGCGGCGGAGTCTTTCAGAACTAAAGATGAGGAGGGGTTCACCACTCTGTGAAAGACTGCACCATCAAATAGTGCAACAATTCAAGAATAAAGTGCCTCAACATAAAATAGCAAAGAACCTTTACTTTTCATCATCTACGGTACATAATATCATTAAAAGACTCAGAGAATCTGGAGAAATCTCTGTATGTAAGGGACAAAGCCTAAAACCAGTATTTGCTGGCCGTGATCTTTGGGCCCTCAGACGGCACTGCATTAAAAACAGACCTGATTCTGTAGTGGAAATCACTGCATGGGCTCAGAAACACTTCTGAAAACCACTGTCTGTGAAAACAGTTCATCGATGCATCCACAAATGCTAATTATAACTCTAAAACGCAAAGAAGAAACCAAATATAAACAGGATCCAGAAACACTGCCACCTTCTCTGGGCCTGAGCTTATTTAAAATGGACTGCGGTGAAGTGTAAAAGTGTCCTGTGGTCTGATTAATCATAATTTGAAATTCTTTTGGGAAATCATGGACACTGTGTCCTCCGGGCTAAAGACCACTCAGCTTGTTATCAGTGCACAGTTCAAAAGCCAGTATTCATGATGGTATAGGGGGCATTAGGACAAAGGAGACCCTGAACTGATTAGCAGCTGAAATCCTGTATCAAACAAGAATGTGAAAACATTTCACTTTCTAAACTACAGCAGTGTCTCCTCAGTGTTGTTGAAAGAAAAGGTGATGAAACACAGTGGTAAACAAGCCCCCGTCCCAACTTTTTTGGAACGTGTTGTTGACATCAAATCCAAAATCCACAATAAAATTTCTCAGTTTCAACATTTGATATGTTGTCTTTGCAGTATTTTCCTTTAAAAGTATGGTTTACATGATTTGCAGATCAATACATTCTATTTTTATTTATAGCGTCCCAACTTTTTTGGAAATGGGGTTGTACTAAAAATGATATAAGATTCAGTTGTTTAGACTTCTGTGAGGTTTTTTGCCCTGATACTAAAAAATCAATAAATTGTTCTTAACGGCTGGTTTGACTGGAAATTAAATAAATGAAGAGTCTCTGACTTTACAGTACTGTAGATCTGAATTATTAAGGAGTCATTTGGCAGAACACATGAGGCATAACATCCCAGTGATCCTCAAACTGTGGTACATGTATCACTTCTAGGACCACTTATGCTCAAATCTGAAATTAAGCTGTCTGATTTGCGTTTAAGCAGCTCTGAAAAAGTCAGATCTGTGTCCCGTTTCTGCGAAGTAACTGGATCTGTCCCACTTAGTGTAACCTAAGAACACAGAATACCTCGCACAGATGTACTGGGAGCCAGGTCAGAGCAAGAATGTGGACCATCTGGTGGGCTGGGCTGGGTTGGAAACGCCGCACTGTGCCATGTGTAGGTCTGCAATGATTAGTTACTGACTGCAACATCAACTGTACAAAACATTTAAAACAAAGACCCTCTATAATGTTCTTAGATGTGTAAGACTGTCACAGTCATGACCTTTACTCAGCGCCGCCCTCTAAAGGTTTAAACGTCAAATAAACTAACATCACTCAGCGCCGCCCTCTAAAGGTTTAAACGTCAAATAAACAAACATCACTCGGCGCCGCCCTCTAAAGGTTTAAACGTCAAATAAACAAACATCACTCAGTGCTGCCCTCTAAAGGTTTAAACGTCAAATAAACAAACATCACTCAGCGCCGCCCTCTAAAGGTTTAAACGTCAAATAAACAAACATCACTCAGCGCCGCCCTCTAAAGGTTTAAACGTCAAATAAACTAACATCACTCAGCGCCGCCCTCTAAAGGTTTAAACGTCAAATAAACTAACATCACTCAGCGCCGCCCTCTAAAGGTTTTAACATCAAACAAACATTACTCACCGCTGCCCTCTAAAGGAGTTAATAAATCTCAAATAAACAAACATCACTCACATCTGGGGGTATTTGTTTCACAAAGCAGGATTTCTCAGTTCAGCAACATAAGCCCAAAGTCAAGCCTGTCCAATAGGAAGAGAGCTGAGGAACATTCCTTCTGGACAGTCCTCATCCTTGGGCTTAAGCTATCTGGCTAACTGAAAAATCCTGCTGTGTGAAATATAGGAAGTGTAGGGTACGATGTGGCTTAAAAGAAATCACATGTCAAATAAACTAACATCACTCAGCGCCGCCCTCTAAAGGTTTAAACGTCAAATAAACAAACATCACTCAGCGCCGCCCTCTAAAGGTTTAAACATCAAATAAACAAACATCACTCAGCGCCGCCCTCTAAAGGTTTAAACATCAAATAAACTAAACATCACTCGGCGCCGCCCTCTAAAGGTTTAAACATCAAATAAACAAACATCACTCAGCGCCGCCCTCTAAAGGTTTAAACATCAAATAAACTAAACATCACTCAGCGCCGCCCTCTAAAGGTTTAAACGTCAAATAAACAAACATCACTCAGCGCCGCCCTCTAAAGGTTTAAACGTCAAATAAACAAACATCACTCAGCGCCGCCCTCTAAAGGTTTAAACGTCAAATAAACAAACATCACTCAGCGCCGCCCTCTAAAGGTTTAAACGTCAAATAAACAAACATCACTCAGCGCCGCCCTCTAAAGGTTTAAACATCAAATAAACAAACATCACTCAGCGCCGCCCTCTAAAGGTTTAAACATCATATAAACTAGCATCACTCAGCGCCGCCCTCTAAAGGTTTAAACATCAAATAAACAAACATCACTCAGCGCTGCCCTCTAAGGGTGAAATTAACAAACATCAAATAAACAAACATTACTCACTGCCGCCCTCTAAAGGAGTTAATAAATCTCAAATAAACAAACATTAGTCACATCTGGGGGTATATGTTTCACAAAGCAGGATTTCTCAGTTCAACTTTTTTGGCCCTTTTTGAGTCACGTCGTCATGTGGATTGCTGTCGTCCCCCAGGTGTGCGAGTGGCCAGTCTAGGCTTGTTCCTGCAGTGTGTGGCGTCAGTGGGCTTCTCTCTGCTGATGGAGCGCATGGTGGCGTGCGTAGGTGCGCGAGCGCTCTACGTGAGCAGCGTGGCACTGCTTGCGTTGACCACGGCAGTGATGACCGTGTCTCACAATGTCGTTCTGGTCACTGTGATGGCCGCTGCGTCAGGATACACCTTCTGCACTCTGCAGGTCCTGCCTTACACGCTCACCTGTCTCTACCACTCAGACAAGCAGGTAAAGCTCAGGTTATCTTGTTCTGTTTTCATAGTTTTCATTTAGTGTTTTCATAATCAACTTTTTGGTGTTGTATTTAATCTTTCAAGTTTTTGGGAACAGCAAGGAGACGCTAAATGAGAATCGGTACACTAATTATCTGTTTACAATAATTGATTACAATTGTACAATCATTGTCATGTTATTGACCTCAGGATACTTTTGAAATATAAGAAATATTGAGTTAAATTAATTTTAACTTTGCTTTAGTGCTTAAGTACACAGCTCTTTAGAAACACCTACATAGCCTTCGACTACTAATCCGAAAAAACTGAAGCTGCACAGGACTAGCATAATAATCATTTTAGGCATTTCATACCTTTATCTGCAGCTACAGATGGCATGATTTTTCTTTTATGGGACAGTAAAACCTTGAGTATCAACTGATATTGATCTGATACTTTTAGACTACTAAGCTTTTTAACATTAGCTGTTTTTAATTTAAGCCCTTCACTTAAGATGAGCATCTAAAAGTAGGCCATCATGCTCAAACCACTTACAGGATTGGATCGCATTCATTCATTTTTCCCACTGATCCAGCATTTTCTGCTGATATCAGCCCAATAACTAATTGGTTTTATGTTATCGAAAACACGGATGATGTCATTGACATTGAAAACACCATGTTTTCAGTGTCATCAATTTCAATTCTACGACGGCATTTTAGGGCCACTGTTAATAAAAATAAAAATGGTAGACTTTGAGAATAAAGTCATAACATTTCGAGAAAAAAGTTGTAATATTTTGAGAAAAGAAGTCGTACTGTATGATATTTTGAGGATAAAGTCGTACTGTTTTGAGTGAGCAGGAAACTGTGTTTATTTAGAATAAAGAACCAGACGGACTTGGAGGAAACTGTCACAGACAGTGAGAATGATAATCAAAATGAGCCACAAACAGACAGGAGTGAGTGGAACTCCGGCACCAGTACAGCAACCGAGACCCCAACGCATTATGGCAGCCCCCCTACAGCTAGACCACTTTATCCTCCAAATATTACGACTTTTTTTCTCTATTTTTCTCGACTTTTATCTCGAAATATTAAGATTTTTTTCTTGAATAATATAATGACTTTATTCTCTAAATACTACATTTTATCTCAAAATATTACGACTTTATTCTTGAAATAGTAGGATTTTATTCTCTAAATATTCCGACTTTTTTTTTTCTCGAAATATTACGACTTTACTTTTGAAATATTACAACTTTACTTTCGAAATATTACAACATTTTTTCTCAAAATATTACATTTTTTTATAATATTAAGACTTCATTCTCGAAATAGTAGGATTTTATTCTCTAAATATTATGACTTTTTTCTCGAAATATTATTACGATTTTTCTCAATTTTACAACTGTATTCTCGAAATATTACGTCTTTTTTCTCAAAATATTACAACTTCGTTCTCAAAATATTATGACCTTTTTTCTCGATATATTACGACTTTATTCCTGAAGTCTACTATTTTTATTTTTAACAGTGGCCCTAAAACGCCTGACTTCTGAATCTCTTTTCTCAGGTGTTCTTCTCCAGCAGCAGAGTCAAGCTCCCAACCAGTAGGGATGAGCTGGAAAAGCTTAAGTTGGCTCAAATGCAGCTTTCCACTAAGTACCGCAGCACTAACGGGTGCGCCAATGGACACCCAGCAAACATGCATAGCAAACCCACTGTGTCAACATCACTTAATCTTCACGTGACCCTGCCCGTGGACACCTCCCCCACATCCTCCCAGCCACCTAGGGGCATGTGTCTGGACATAGCCATACTGGACAGTGCCTATCTGCTCTCGCAGGTGGTGCCTTCCCTCTTCATGGGATCCATTGTACAGCTTTTCCATAGTGTGACCATCTACATGGCCTGCGCTTCTGTCCTCAGCCTGCTGGCCGTTTATTTCGCAAGCAAGATTGTCTTTGACAGGGCGGACATGGAAATGCTGCAGTGACTGCATAAAGCTAGTTTTATTTATTGAAGTGTTTAAGATGTGGAGAAGGTAATGTGGGTCAAGTGCATTTTTCAGAGTGCATTTCAGGGTTTTTTTAAGCCTAATCTCTATCTAGTCACATCTATAGCATGATACTGATTACTACAATTTCCCTATAATTAGAAAGGAACAGAAAAAATGTGCTTACTATATAATAGTATAGTGGGCAGTTGCTCCAGCAGGGTGTTTTGCATTATCAAGGGGTTTCTAGTAATACATTTCACACACTGTATGCTCCAGATGTGGCTTATAAAGATTAGATTGAATATTATGTCATAAAAACCTGTTTAATACTTTTCTTTAAACTCTTTGAAGTGTCTCAGATGTGTACAAGACCAAAATGATTCTATGTGCCTATGAAAAAAAAGGGAACGTTTGAAAAAGGGGGAAAGGAATAATGAAAAGAATGATGACTGTGCATGTCATGTTGTGTGACCACATTTCTTCTGACTGACACACCACCTTTCCCGCGAAATACGCCGGATACTTGCGCATTAAATAGAAAGGGTACAGGTGTGTGCTCTTGGAGCCAGATGGGTGTTTAAAAGAACCATGATATACAGTTGTATGCAAACGTTTGGGCAACACTGGTCATTAATACGTCCTCTACATGGAACACACTTACACTTCCGCACGTTTTAATGCACTATTACTGTTAATTTGCTGAATTTAACATATTGGAAGAAAAAACATAAAATGTGGTCTGTGCAAAAGTTATGGCACATTGTGTTATTTTTTCCAATATGTTCAACTCAGGGCGGCATGGAAGCGCAGTGGGTAGTGCTGTCGCTAGGCTGGGTTCGATTCCCCGGCCAGGCGACCAGGCTCTCCCAGTGTCTGCATGGTTTCCTCCCACAGTCCAAAGACATGCGGTCAGACCACTTGGACATGCTAGATTGCCCCTATGTGTGGGTGTAAATGTATATGTCTGTGTGTCTGCCCTGTGATAGACTGGTGACCTGTCCAGGGTGCATCCTGCCTTCCACCCAATGACTGCTGGGATAGGTTCCAGCTCCCCCCCCGCAACCCAGAAGGATAAGCGGCTTAGATAAGTGTGTTCAACTCAGCAAACAGCCACTGTGTACTAAAACATGGAGAAAAATGTTATATTTAAGTTTGTTAAATTTAAGTTTAGCTGGAGAGAAGTTATGGAATAAGTGAACTTAAGTACCTAAAGCTTCTCCTCGTTCCAGTCGAACGGCCAGTAAATTCCCATGTCTACCTTCTGGTTCCTGAGATCCACTCCATCTCCTCCCTGTTCCTCAGTCCTATATCAGTTCTACCACAGTTCAAAAAGGTGGGGTCTGGGCTTCTAGCCCCTATCAGAAGCTGCCCAGAACTCCAGCCTGTTCTCAGGAGTTCTCTGCCCTCTTAAAATCAGCCTCTCCTCATGCTGCCACAATATGTTGGAGGCAAAGTCTAAACTTGGAGTTTTTCACTCAGAAAACCAACAAAACGTACATTTGCGTATAACTGTTTGTAAATAAATTACAGGGAAAATGGGTGGGAAATGCCCCCCGAAGAACAAATGGAGCTGAACCATATCTGTACATGAGCTTAGCAAGTCCTTTCACCTTGTAAGGAAAAAAACCCCATCATCATCCCATCCATGATCGTATATTTTTTAATAACTTTTTTGAGCAACGTACTATAAATGCATAGCGCATTATTATCTTGTGGCATTAGATCAACTGAAAGGTTTCCAGGGGAATTAATCCCAGGAATGCAGTGATCCTGAGGAAATTTCAGAATCAATTAGGCCACAGGCATTCAGTATGTGTGGTGAGATTAGATGTGGGCTGATCATTTGATCAAGAGAGAAAATAAGATGGGGGGGGTTTTACTCCGGGGGGTGGCTTCTTCCTCCATGATATTGTTCTAAATGTTGGCCCTATCACTGGGACATTGTGAGTTTGATAACCAGTGATTCCACAGCCGTACGTAACCAGGTGTCCAAGAAGGCATAGCTGGCCTTGCTTTCTCTGGGTGGGCCGGATACCCCCCCTCAGATCAACACAACAAAATATTAACCATTAGTGTGTGATGTAACTGAATTGTCAGTTAGTGTTCTCCTCCAAGCGTGTTGAGCCAGCCAATGATGTCATGTTAGCTTCACATGACTTGGAGGAAGCATATACTAACCTTCAGAAGAGAAGTGGTTGGTGTAGTGTAGTGGGTAACACCTCTGCCTTCTACACTGTAGACTGGGGTTCAATCCCTGCCTGCGTGAGCACCCTATACTATACCAATAAGAGTCCTTGGGCAAGATTCCTAACACTACCTTCGCCTACCTGTGATAAATGATCAAATTGTAAGTCGCTCTGGATAAAAGTGTCTGCCAAATGCCATGAATATAAGGCATAGCTAGCAGACAGAATTAGGTAATTAATAAATTGGTGAGAATAATGAGTTAAAAAATTACAAATTCTTGTAGTTTCATATTTTATGTGACCTTTAAAATGAGGGCATTCTCTCAAAATGAGATTTGGATGCACAAAGTCAAATGATGCCGGTACATTAAGGCCCAATCCCATTTCACCCCTCGCCCCTACCACTGAGCCCTTAGCCCGCTGTTTTGTGTGTTCACGTCTAGGGGTAGGGTGTCCTGATTTTTGCTGAAATAACATGACTACATGGCTACATGACCCTCCAAACGGAGGTTTTTCAGAGACTCCAAAAACAGAGTTATGAGAAAGAAAGAAAAATCGCAAGATGTCTGAACAAGAGACCAAAGAAACTCACAAAATCAGAATTTTCTCTGTTAAAAATTATGATAACCACTGTATTATCTTAGTTTAATGTTGTTTCAGTTTATTTTGGTCGTTTTCTTCATAACAAGCATTAAAAAAACGCTAATAGCATGCTAATGTCTCAGTAGCTAGCTAGCTAACTTTCCCGTTCCACTTTAAATAGTCCAGCAGTTCTGATGCCTGAGGCGCCAGAATGTAACTGCTGCACCACTTAAGGTGGAACGGGAAAATTCTAATAAGAAGCTGGTGAATATCTGACTTCAGGTTCGTATCACCAATGAATTAGCGGTGGGCGACAATAAATAATTGCCCCCCTCTTTGAAGGCATATGATGCCCTAAATGTAACTAAAGCCCAGCAGTGAGGAGCTGAACTTTACCCTCCTCTGCTATCACTGAAGATGGGCTGGGTCGCCTACAGAGCAGCACTAGTAGCTGTTAATAAAGCAATGTTTTTATTTTAATTTGAGCGTCCCATTTCATAGATCAAGAATTTAACCACTACCCCTTTGTAACTCAGTTTCAAGGTGTAGGGTGACACTCAAAAACAAGTGGTAGGGGTAAAAAGAAGAAATGGGATTGGGCCTAAATGTAAATGCACGTTTAATGGAGAAACATTACAGCCACATAAGCAGTATGTTCGTCAGTTACTTTAAGTGTGATTTGGACTACCTGGAGAGAAAGGTTTAGTTTGTAAATGTGTATCTGATTATGATGACTGGATGAATGGCAATGTGCAGGCATAAGATAACATGAACTTCATTTAATCAAATTCCATCACGCTTCTCATTAACAGAACGTGGATCAGGTTTGATATTTTATAGGAGAAATGAACACAAAACTGTTCATGAGTCATTATTGATTGTACATAGTCATGCAGTTGGCTTTGATATGTAGTTTGCTTAGTTTCATGTTTTCAGATTTTCTATTTTAATTTATTTTGGTGTTATTTATTTGGTCATTTGTTCCATGCTGGACTGTGGTTCTTTAGTGTCTTGCCTTCTTGCCTCAGACGCTAAATATTGTGGTGAGATATACTGACTGTTTCTTGAACCAACATATGTTTACAGTGTAATGTATGTATGTTATGTATGAGATATACTGGTTCTGGGTTTCTGTGTCTCTTCTGAATTTTTTGCTGAATTATGAATTGTAATGGATTATAAATCTTTTATTGATACTTATCATTTATAAAATGATAAGAAATTTATTACTTAACATATTTTGACAGTTGATCTGCTGGTAAATGAATGTATAAATAAAGAATTTTTTCTTTACAAATTATAATAATGAAATATGAGATGTATTATATAATACACACACACAGACACACACACTTATACACCGATCAGGCATAACATTATGAGCACCTCCTTGTTTCTATGCTCATTGTCCATTTTATCAGCTCCACTTACTATATAGGTGCACTTTGTAGTTCTACAGTTACAGACTGTAGTCCATCTGTTTCTCTGCATACTTTGTTAGCCCCCTTTTACCCTGTTCTTCAGTGGGCAGGACCCCCATGGACCCTCACAGAGCAGGTACTATTTGGGTGGTGGATCATTCTCAGCACTGCAGTAACACTGACGTGGTGGTGGTGTGTTAGTGTGTGTTGTGCTGGTCTGAGTGGATCAGACACAGCAGTGCTGCTGGAGTTTTTAAACACCTCAGTGTCACTGCTGGACTGAGAATAGTCCACCAACCAAAAATATCCAGCCAACAGCGTCCTGTGGGCAGCGTCCTGTGACCACTGATGAAGGACTAGAGGATGACCAACACAAACTGTGCAGCAGCAGATGAGCTGTCGTCTCTGACTTTACATCTACAGCATAGACTGACAAGGTAGGAGTGTCTAATAGAGTGGACAGTGAGTGGACACAGTGTTTAAAAACTCCAGCAGCACTGCTGTGTCTAATCCACTCAGACCAGCGCAACACTCACAAACACACCACCACCACATCAGTGTTACTGCAGTGCTGAGAATGATCCACCACCCAAATAGTAACTGCTCTGTGAGGGTCCATGGGGGTCCTGACCACTGAAGAATAGGGTAACAAAGTATGCAGAGAAACAGATGGACTACAGTCTGTAACTGTAGAACTACAAAGTGCACCTATATAGTAAGTGGAGCTGATAAAATGGACAATAAGCGTAGAAACTCCTTGTTCGTGGTCATAATGTTATGCTTGATCGGTGTATATACGTTTTGCATGGCTCTCAGTATGGGCTGCTAGTTTTGTTCTACTGCCATCCACAGGTTCAGAGAGGTATTGCACGCGTGGATACTTCTCGGTGTCATATAAACAATAACAAGTGGAACCACTAGGGGTCACACCTCATTAACTCTTTAGATTTAAATATTTAAACCTCTCTCTTCATGGCATGTACCTGTATTTTCGCATTTTGTGGCTTTAAAACCTTTTAAAATACGTATGCTAGTTGGCTACATGCGCCAAGTTGATGTGCGAAGCAGGCCAGTGTTTTCCTCCCAATTCCGCATTTCAGGACGACCGTACGGCTTTAGAATGCATCTCTAGACCGCAAAATAAAGACTGATCGCATAAAATCGGCTCCAAAATGTTCCTAAATGTTTCTACACACCGAAGAAACCGAGCTGTTTGGCTCAGAAAGCTCCTTTTGTTGCTCTGCTCTCCATGTGGCGCTTTCCACACAGGAAAGGGGGGTCTGGTCATAAATAATTCACGAACCGCCACGGCTGGGCCAATCAGAGCCGTGCTTTTAGGTCGAGCCTCCGCGAAGGCAGCCAATCAGAGCGCGGGAATTGGATCCCTGCCTTGGCGTGCATTGCAATGCGCGTCATGTGATGGGGCCTGCGAGAAAACGCCAACATGGAGCCGAGACGAGGAGGGCACAGTCCCGGACAATAACACGAGAAAAGAGCCGCGGGGAGACGCCAGCTGTCGTGCATTCGCCCGCCGGGGGTTCAATCAGTGTCAGATCGAAGGTAAAGCGATATAATATGACTCGTATTTTGAGCGCTCGACGCAGCGCGCCCGCCTTCGGGAAAGGGCAGCCTGTGGATGACCCTGCTATCGGGACCCGAGCAGAGAGGGGCCGATCAGAGGCTTTATTTACCTGGCATGTGCTTTGCCATGAGACACGTGTAGTTTTGTGTTTGGATAAAAAAGTTAAGCAGCTCGTGAACTCGGATGTTTCGGCGAGGGCAGGTTTCGGGCTGCACAGGCCTGCTGCTCTGCGCTTTAACGTTGACGCACTTTTCACCAACATGGCAACATTACAGTGGTATGTTTTTGCGTGGTGAGTTACAGTCACCCAGTTTTAATGTGCATGAAACGGGCATATTATTCTGTTTACATTTTTACACGGATACACTACGACCCCTCCTCATAATTAATAAATAAATTAATTATTTAATGAATCTAAACTCGCTAAAAGTGTTTGCTATTTAAATATTTAAAAGGATCATATACTGAATTTTTATTATTATATTATTACTATTATTGTAGTGTTTTATTAACCCCCTCCGAAGCCACCTTATAACATTTGTGAGGTTTTATTTACCAAAATCAGTCATAATTTATTCTGTATTACATTTCCCAAACACTCTTTACCTCTTGGAATGGATCGGACTGTTCTTGTTCCTGTCCCTTTAAGACTGCTGTATGTAAATGACCTCCGTTCTGATTGGGTGCTCATTCAAAAATTCAAAAAGCAGTCCAGGATTGAAACACTCCTTATAACTTCAGCGTGAATGGGCGGGGCTAAACTGGGGCAGGTGTTGTTTATGGGTGGGACTAAACTGCTGCAGGTTCAGAAGGCAGATATTGCCTATGGGTGGGGCTAAACTGGGGCAGGTATTGTTTGTGGGCGGGGCTAAACTGGGGCAGGTGTTGTTTATGGGCGGGGCTAAACTGCTACAGGTCCAGAAGGCAGATATTGTCTATGGGCGGGGCTGAACTGGGGCAGATATTGTCTATGGGCGGGGCTTAACTGCTACAGGTCCAGAAGGCAGATGTTGTCTATGGGCGGGGCTAAACTGCTGCAAGGCAGATATTGTCTATGGGCGGGGCTTAACTGCTGCAAGTCCAGAAGGCAGATGTTGTCTATGGGCAGGGCTAAACTGCTGCAAGTCCAGAAGGCAGATATTGCCTGTGGGCGGGGCTAAACTGGGGCAGATATTGTCTATGGGCGGGGCTTAACTACTACAGGTCCAGAAGGCAGATATTGTCTATGGGTGGGGCTAAACTGGGGCAGATATTGTCTATGGGCGGGGCTAAACTGCTGCAGGTCCAGAAGGCAGATATTGCCCTGGTTTTTGTGACATCATAAAAACAATGAATTCAAAACGTCTTGTTTTTTTGCAGCTTGTTACTTTTCTTATTTTAAAACGAGAAAGGAAAATCCAGCTCTGCACTGTGTGTGCACTTTAATTGTACTGTAAATCCTCCAACAGTTACTAAAACATGATTGCCTCTATTTTGTTATTCTAATCCTGTCTTTTTTCATTCCTTTCCAGTGTTGTCAAACTGTGGCCTTGTGGTGGTAGATTTCCCCCCTTCCTCCACCCACCTTTCTTTAAAAAATCTGGATAGCAACAAATGGTCTCCATAAGTGATAAAGCGGTGACCACTGCTAATGATTCACTTAAGGACCAGGTGATGGTCACCTTGCCCTTCGTAGACATAGGGGGTAGTGAGGGGGGTAGTTCGGCCTCCTGCTCCAGCCCGGAAATGGGCGATGCTGGCACTTATCTTGGTGGCAGCACTGGGGAGGAAGAGGAGGAGGACGCGGCGGGTGCGGAGGAGGCCCTGGGTGTGGCCGGGCTTCCCTGTTTGCCTGATTTTATCTCGCACGTTTCTAGTACCTTCTCCCCAACTCTGGAGGACATTGAGGAGTTCTTGATGGAGAAGATGGAGCTGGTCAAGGAGGATCAGTTGAACCCAGAGGAGAAGTCTCTGGAGGTCATTTCTGAAGAGCAGCCGTCTTCCCCAAGTAAGCTGAATGATCTGGAAGCCAAATCTTCCACAGCGACCCCTGTTAGCCAGAATGCTAACGCTGCGGCTAGCTCGGCTCCGGTGCTGGTTGGAGCTCCGCTGGTGCTACAGATTCAGCCCGTACAACTTGGCGATCCTCTTCCCCAGCCGACCTCCCAGGCTGGGCCAGCCAGCGGGCTGCGGGTGGCACACTTGGTGCTGGGCGTCCAGGGTGGGCAGAACATCACCCTGCTTTCACCGCAGGTGCCCTCAGGAACCCTCCTGCCCATCGTGGGTGAGGCGGGCAGCCAAGATCAAAAGTATGTGAAGATCGCCCCTTTGCCAATCACAGTAAGGGCAGTCGGCATAACAGGCACCAGCTTGGTCAAAGCCATCCCTCCACGCCCGCCCAGACCCTCCACAGAGACTCTGAGGGTGCACAAATGCTCACATCCAGGGTGCGAAAAGATGTACACCAAAAGCAGCCACCTCAAGGCCCACTTTCGGAGACACACAGGCGAGAAGCCGTACTTGTGCAGCTGGCCGGACTGTGGCTGGAGGTAAAACATTTGATCACAAAATACAGTTCAGATCACATTTTTAACCTTTTTAATGCTTAGAAGTCAAGAGTTATTTCACTTTGCCGTACTGTTCAATTTCCATTGTGTAATTACATATTTATTACATTGTAAAATTACATTTACTTTTAACCTCTTATTCTTCAGGGTATATTTTGGTTGTTCCATCTGAATTTACGTGACCAAATCGTAAGGCAAATTCTTCAGTAACTGCATGAAATAAATGTAAATTTTTATTTTTTTCTTTATTTATTTATTTTTGTAAAAGCTCCCCTCAAATGAACAGAAAGTGTGTTTTATGATACACATATTGCAATATGCTTACAATTTACTGCTGAAAGCCAAAAATCTTAGACGCTCTTTGTATTATTTTATAAAAATAATGTTTACAGAGCAGATCACTGAAGAGACGCCATCTGTTTATAGTTTATAGCCCAGATTTGTGGAAAAATGGTTCGACTTTCAGTAGAAAAAAAAAACTGAGTTCAGCTTCTTTTATTATAAGAGTTTTAAAAAATATGACAAAGTGCATTTTAGAACCACTGGTGGTCCCAAGGAGTTGAAGAGGTTAATTTACAGTCTGTATTGACAAGTCTTAACACAATAATAACTATCAGATTTAATTACTAATAGAATATCTCCTCTTTTACTTAAAACAATTGCAGTATTGATTGGAAGTTTAGACTTTAATGAACTACACATGAGAAATAACTGTAATAAAATCATTCCATGCTTTCATTATTGCTGGTCCTAACTGTGAATTCTAAAGGTTAATTATTGACATAACACGATGATTTACTAATAGGGCTGTAACTAATGATTTTATTAGTTTACGACTTTTTTACGATTATTTGACAAGCCTTTATACTACTGTTTCATCTCGTACACCGTTATACTGGTATCCCACAGATAACGTGACATATAAACAGTGCTAACCAGTCATGGATGTTTGAGTCACATTTGAACTGAAAATTAAAGTGCAGGAGTCTCTCCATCACCTCCTGTCTCGTGTGTGAAGTAGTCCACTTTGTTTTCGAGAAGGGGACGTAAAAGAATGGCTGGCCGTTTGGGATTAGCCTCAGCCTAAAATGAAGACCAGACCAGCTGCTGTGCTTTGTGGTGGCAAAGTATTTAAATTTCAGTCAAATAAAACAGAGAAGTTTAATCTACTGCTTTATTTTCTTAAAGAGATGAAGATCATCTGCAGAAGATGCACCCACTTGAGGCGAAAAGTTCACACAAATTTATACCCTGCAAGTTCCCTGTCTCCTCCCAAAATGCATTGCTTTAAAGCATCCTCTGGTACGGCCTGAGGAGCCACCAGATTTGGTCAGCTGCATCAGACAAAGCCTCGGTCTCGGGGCTTCTGAACAATCTGTGGATCAGCTGCTACTGATAGCAGGAGCGACTGTAATACGTTATGACAGTCATGGGAACGAGTTTTCTGTACCACCTTAAATGTACAGGCACCAGAATGTATGCTGTTCCATTTAAGGTGGAACAAAAACTTAAGAAAGAAGCCAACTTGAGCCTTGTAGAAATGCCAGGGTGCCAGGGGTGTCCAAAGTCCGGTTCCTTGGCCAAATGCAGACCCTGGAGAGACTGAATGCATTAAAGGTGGTCTGAGAACCAGTGTGTTGCTGTTTTCCTTTCACTTGACAGTGGCAACAGTACTGTAAACATACACCATGTTGGTGTGCACCACAGACATCTTTTATGGTGCAACGAAATAATAGAAGCCGTATCGCCCCCTACACTTCCTGTAAGGTATTGCAGTCTGTCAGAATGGCCGCACATGTCATATAAACATTATAGAAAGTTTTTAATCCTGTACTGCATGGCTTATAATTTAAAAAATATATTCAAACACTTTTCATAAAATGGTCCTTGATTTGTTTTTTTCAGACCCCATTGTTAAATTCAAAAACATTTAAAAGAAATAATGTGCGCAGGGGTCCTTTTGGAATATGTTGCCTTGAGGCAACATTGTGCGACAATGGGAAGAAATGATACAGAGCTGTGTTACCTGAAGTGGTGAGATCTGGCTTGTGACTGGCTAAATCCATTCCACTGTCGCACAATGTTGCTTCTAGGCAACAAACATATTTCTGCAAATTCTCGTAACAAAAAAATTGCTACTGAATGTTGAAAAAGAGGTTTAAATGTGCCCACTAAGAGATAGTATGACCAAGTACATGTGTTTTGTTGCCTTACTCAAACTCTTCCCTTTATTGTTAACCCTATTGTTGTCTTTAAATATGTATTATTTTATTGAAAAATTAGGAAAATGAGTTTGTTGCCCTAAGGCAACACTGTGCGATTGAGGGTTAAATGTGAAGCACCTATTGGACCTGGCTTGTAACTCCTGCACTCACTCACTTGCTCAAATTTTAACAAGATTGTCCACAAGGGGGAGCTACTGTCACTCTAGTAACCAAAGCAAAAACAACCTGCGTACTTTCTAGGGCTTTGTAGGCTACGGAAATCATGAAAGTCATTCAAATTTTATTCAGAACAAAACACAATGCAAATTAGGTACTACATTGCTGGTGTTTTGTGTCCTTGTTTTTTCTGTAACCGTTGCCGTTGACATCAACTTTGTCCACTAATTGTAGCAGCCCAAACCAAAGAACCACAAATTCAGGATTTTCTATCTAATCTAGATGTTTATCTGCTCTGGTCATAGGTTCTCGCGGTCGGACGAACTGTCCCGCCACCGTCGGTCTCACTCTGGAGTCAAGCCTTACGAGTGCAAGATGTGTGACAAGAAGTTTGCCAGGAGCGACCACCTATCCAAACACACCAAGGTGCACAGGAGCCCACGTGCGAGCAGACTAATCAGAACCAACTTCTGACGCGCCAGGACCCCCATCTCTCGCCACCACCAAACTAGAGCCTGGAGGCTAACGGGGAACGTCAGAGGATCTCTCTCTAAAGAGGCTCGCGAGCTGCAGTCTTCCTTCATTTTCCTTCCCTCCTCCTGTTTTTATTAATAGTTTATCCAGATGTTTGCTTTCTTGGTGCTACAGTAAGCTAACTCAAATCTCAGGGATGTGATTGTTCAGCTCAAAGCAGATTTCTGGCAATCCGCTTGTGTCAGCCGCCAACCCGAGCCTAGCTGATCGCTCCATTCTCTTCATCGGTGTTAAATTCATAGGCTGAGCCATGGAGGATAATGTGGGTTTTTTGCTTTTAACTAAGGTCAAATAAAGAGATTAGGGGGAGGTTTTAGAAGGCAATCCAATGCAAAAGCATGGTGCTAAACGTCTCTAGATGTGGCAGTGCTCCCCAGCAAGTCTGATCTACACCGATCAGGCATAACATTATGAGCACCTCCTTGTTTCTACGCTCATTGTCCATTTTATCAGCTCCACTTACTATATAGGTGCACTTTGTAGTTCTACAGTTACAGACTGTAGTCCATCTGTTTCTCTGCATACTTTGTTAGCCCCCTTTTACCCTGTTCTTCAGTGCTCAGGACCCCCATGGACCCTCACAGAGCAGGTACTATTTGGGTGGTGGATCACTCTCAGCACTGCAGTAACACTGACGTGGTGGTGGTGTGTTAGTGTGTGTTGTGCTGGAGTTGTGCTGGAGTTTTTAAACACTGTGTCCACTCACTGTCCACTCTATTAGACACTCCTACCTTGTCAGTCCACCTTGTAGATGTAAAGTCAGAGACGATAGCTCATCTGCTGCTGCACAGTTTGTGTTGGTCATCCTCTAGTCCTTCATCAGTGGTCACAGGACGCTGTTGGCTGGACATTTTTGGTTGGTGGACTATTCTCAGTCCAGCAGTGACAGTGAGGTGCACCTATATAGTAAGTGGAGCTGATAAAATGGACAATAAGCGTAGAAACAAGGAGGTGGTCTTAATGTTATGCCTGATCGGTGTATATAAAGTATGTAAAGTTTGATTTATGGTTTAGGTCATTCTTGGTTTCAGCCCAAGGCAGCTCAAACGTGCTGTGGTCGTCTCAAAGCTGCCTTAAATTAAGACCAGCACATTCGCTAAATCAGTTAAGATGTTTCACGCTGAAGCCAAGATCCCCATGCTTTTAAATTGTGGCAATATGCACTGCAACGTGAGCTTTAATAATACCCGAATATCTCTACTACCGTGGAGTAGTAGCAACTGCTTAGCACTTAGTGTACTTTTTTGGAGTACCGCCCTCTGAAATTCAATCCAAGATAAGGTCCAATGTGATTGTTTTCACATGTACCTAATACCTTACAAGAGATTTCTCACGTTTTCTTTTATACTGAAGGATGATTTATCTAATACGCTACATGCTAAAGCTAACGCCTGTGCAACTATCAAGAATTATCTTGGCCCAATCACATCCCTGATTGAACCAGATCATGTCAAGGTATCTTCCCACCTTTTCCTGTGCCTCATGTCTCTCTCTCTGTCTCTCTCTCCCAGTCGGTCGAGACTATGCCAAACCAGAGCTCCCTGTTACCTCTGGGACTTACTTCTGGGTAACCGGGTAACTGGGTGACTTCACTACGTTAAAGGACGTACCGCTCATGTACAAGTACTGTAAAACAAGCATATAAGCTATAGGAGAGTTTCTTTTCTCTGTATGTAAAGTATCGTTTCTTTTGAAGAAAAGCTGCTTCCTTATGTTATTATAGTGTGCTTTGCTTCTGATCGATGCATTAATTGATTAATACTCAGTGCACTCGACGTCAATAAGCTACGTTCACCAGGGCAGCCGTACTGTTTCGATCCTTACGGAGGGGCAGCTGATTGTTTCTTGTCGATATGAAGCTATTGGTCCTGATGTAAAAGACGAGTCGTTGAAGATCTCCCTCTACTCCTTATCCAGATGGCTGCCCTTGAGCTTTCTTTCGAGGGACGTTCGGTCAGAAAGGAGGAGCGCTGGCTGATGATTTGTGCAGCTGAATCATTTGTGCTCCCTCTTTTCCTTTCGGACGCCGTCTGCCATCTTGCCTTTCGTTCTGTTTTTTTTTTTAAAACATCTGGTCTTAAATATTTTTTTCTTTCACCCCTTGTAGAAAAGCTGTCGCTGTTGAGAGAATAATCATGAACGAGTGCAGTTCTTCTGCTAACGTCGGCTGTTACACGGTATCAGAGCTATGAAATGATGTCGCATTGTTTTGGAAAAAGCACACTGATCTGAAGGTGCTCACTTTGTCTCATAAAGCTTTGGGCAATTTGTAATGTTTTAATGTTTTTCCCCTCCCTTTTCTCTTCTTTTTGGAAGAGACGTGTGCTGCACAGAGATTTGTTTCCAAGGGCTCCCCTCCCCTCCGTCATTTGCCTTACCAGAAACACATTAACAAATTAATACTGTTCATTTACAAAGCCATCCAGTGTAGCTGCTCAACTGTATAGCTGGAGACATGTAGGTTATATTTTTGAATAACTGAAAAAAAAGCTATTTTCCTACATATGATAATAAAACAAGTAAGAAAAAAAAAAATCACTGAAAAAAAGCTACTTCAGCATCCATGACCTTGTTTTGATCAACCTATAAAGCCTTCACGGATCTTCTTTCACACAGTGTTGGGAACGTTTCATGGATGAACCAGTTTTTGTCACTGAACTGAAACGCCTGACATTTGCAGGCTCATTGCAGTTTTGAATGTAAAATACAGTCCTGTTGACGAAGTGCACGGCCATTGTGTTCTGTTCTGGTGGTCTTCCTGAGCTTTCGGCTATAAAGCATGTGGGAAAGGAATCTTAGCATGGACTTTTGAAGCTGGACCGCCTTTATAACTGGAACGTCTGGCTGTCTGTGCTGAATGTTTGAGTGTTAGAGTGGGTTCGGAAGGCGTGGCCGCCTGAGGATAACTGGCAGTTCGGGAATTCTGAGGTTACTGAAGGTTAAAAGGAAATTCCACAGATTTTTTACAATTTCAGCATAATTAAATGAGTAAGAAGTAAACGGAGTGATTCAAAGTGGTTTGATGTTAAATGTTCTGTTCTAGAGAAACTTACCGAGTCAGAACTGTTCGCAGTGGTGGAGATTGAAACCAGACTTCGGAAGCATGTAAGACCTACACTGAAGGTTGCTGGAGGACTTATTTAAGAGTAATTTTGAGAAAAGCTTTTGGGTTTAAACATTTTTAACTTATGCTCGTGGGTGTATTTTGGTTTTTCGATCTGAATTTACATGCCCAAATCATAAGGCAAATTCAGTAACTGCATGAAATAAAAGTTTTCTTTTTTTTTTTTTTGTAAAAGCTCCCCTCACATTAACAGAACATGTGTTTTATGATCATAAACATATTGCTATATGCTTACAATTTAATTTTCTCCTGAAAGCCAAAAATCTTAGACGCTCTTTGTATTATTTTATAAAAATAATTTGTACAGAGCAGATCACTGAAGAGACGCCATCTGTTTATAGTTTATAGCCCAGATTTGTGGAAAAATGGTTCGACTTTCAGTAGAACAACAAATTGTGAGTTCAGCTTCTTTTATTATAAGGGTTTAAAATGACATCACCCATCTATTTGACTGGAAAGAAGACAGTTACAGCTCTCATACGACCCCCACCTTTAGAATAAAGCTTATAAAATATGGAAATTATGAATCCCTGGTTCCCATCACTCCCACTGTATAAAGAAGAGAGTCACTTTGTTTCTCTATGATGTGCCAATTCATATCAAACCACTCTGAATGATATATGATGATCAAATCCCAGCCATCGATTTTTGCTCAAATCGGATACGTATCCGATTCATGGCCATGCGACATTAATGTGACAGAATTCACGTGCTTTTTTCCACTGTGCCATCATTCAGCGTTACCATGGCAGCAGCGCCGAACAGAAGTTAAAGCCTGTAAACGGTGGAAAAGCAGTTCATCTCACCTTTTTCTCCTTCGTCTCGCTCTAGTAATGAAGCTGAGAGCTGATCAGAGTTAATGATCTTCTCAGTGAAGCTCGTTCTGCTCGTTAGTTTGTGCTGATGATGAACGTGATTCATTCACGTGACGTTACTGAGTAGGATGAGCTCATGAGGGTCATTTCAGGACGCCGGTTCGTCACATTAATGACAGATTTGAATCACTTACCTAAACGAGTGTGAACCATCGTGTTAGAGAGATCGGATTTGAGCAAAAAATCGGATTTGAGCAAAGAGGCTTGTAACGTGAACGTGGTGGCTCAGGTCGGATTTGAAAAGATCAGATTTTTGTGTCCACACAGCCCTGAAAACATCAGATCTGAGTCACGTTAGGGCAAAAAATCGGATTAATGTGCCCTCAAAAACTGGGAATTTGTTGAAGCAATAGAACATTTTTCCTCAATATACCATAACATACATTCAGGTTTCTGTTCTTTTAAAGAAACGTCGAGGTTGATTTTGTGACATGGATGCTTGTAAAGTAAGATGGAATGCAAGAACAGCCTCCGACCGGCTCGCTGGCCTAGAACATGACAGAAAAATGAGCTTTCAGAAACTCTAATGTACCACAGGTGTGCTGTTATTTCAATCTCATGGAAAAAAAACACAGAACACGTGATCTTACTCACTCGGGACTATTTTACTGCTTATTTGAATGTTGTAGGTAGAGATGTGTTTTAGCAGAGGAGCACAAAGCTGCACCCTTTAAAAATTGGTTCCTTATGGGTTCCTTTATTAAGACAGTGGTTCTGTATAGAACCATGAACACTCCAGAACCATTTGCATGCTTAAAGAGCTCTTTGCATGGTGAAATCGTTCTTCAGGTTGATGGAGAATGTGTTGTGGTTCTGTGTAGAACGTTTTTGAAAAGGGTTAGTACCAACAAAAAGGGTTCTGTTATTGTTAACATGTCAAGCTTGTAAAAATAGAAGAACCCTAGTGCTATATAGAACGCTTTTTCTGTACGGAACCGTATGCGGCACAATCTGAAGAACCATTTCACACTGCAAAGAACCCTTTAGTCATGCAAATAGTTCTTTGAGTGTTCATGGTTAGAATTGCTTTTACTAAAGAACCCTTGAGGAACCATCTTCATTTGTATGGCCATAATGCCAGCTAAAGAAACTAATAGATAGTCATAATAATTTACCTATGACTAAATTTATGAAAATGTTTAAGTATTAATTTAGATTTTACATAATAACCCATAACTGCATGCATTTGTAGGCTCCATGCCGGGCTGTGTGGTATTTTTCTGCAATTTCTAACTTTAGAATTGGGGGAAAAGTAGAGTTAAACACAAATATAGTTCTTAAAACGTTCTAAAAACATAATGTCTCAGAGTTCTTTAAACTCAGAGCATTTTTGTAAGAAACTCTTATTTAAATCTCTTGTTCTCAAAGTTCAATGAATGCATACATTTGGAAGATTTTTGAAGAATTACAAATTTAAAGTCCTTGTTGTCCACACGGAAATCTGACATAAGGCCATATTTGCACATATATCATAAAGGGTCAGGCATATATTTCATAATATATACATGTTGTATATGTATATGTCAGAGTCAAATCGCTGTTGTCAGAACTTTACAGGAGAAGGAAAAAAACAACTTTACTTTCAATGGAAGTCAATAGAACCAGACTTTTTTCCAAGTGATTTTTGCCCATTTCTTTTGTTTCATTCTTCATGAGATTTACACACAATGTAAAGAGCAACAGGTATTTTCAAATTATGTCAAAAACTGAAAAATTACAAAAATGTTGATATAAGGTTTTCTTCCGTCAGCGGCAAAATATTGGACATTTATGTGTAGTACATGGATCATACACGTTTGATAGGTGGAAGAACACATATATGCACAATATACGGATCATATATATCTGATACATGGTTCAATACATCCCAGAACAGTTATAACTGTTGCAAAGTTATCTGTTTGCTTATAAATTTTATTGTAAAATTTCTGGGAACAATATTATTTCATATTTTGATGCTTTTGTTGCACAGCTTACAATATTCATGTTTTTAGAGTTTAGTTATGTAGCTGTGTAGGAAATAGGATAATGTATGAAGTGTGGAAGAAACAAAAAGGGATAAAACTTTATATAACAAAGTTAGCATCTACGAGTAATACATGCATTCCATATATGAATAGTTTTGTCATACATTGCTACACACACACACACACACACACACATATATATATATATATATGAAGGAAAAACCTACTTGACTTTTAATGTAAGTCAATGGAACCAGACTTATTTCCAAGTCATTTTGGGTCACTTCTTTTGGTTTTTGGTTTCCTTCCAACAACAATATATATATATATATATATATATATCCCCCATAGGCTATTTGAAAATAGCCAATGAGTTGGATATAAGGGAACCCTCGTATCTCCAAAATGGTAACTTTACAGAAGAAGGAAAAAACATACTTTACTTTTAATGTAAGTCAATGGAACCAGACGTCTTTTGAAGTCATTTTGGGACATTTCTCGTGGTCCATTCATCATGAAATTTACACACAATGTAACAGGCTACAGGTACTTTCAAATTATGTCAAAAACTGAAAAACGATATGCCTATATGTGCCACACAGTCATACTACACCTGAAACCTTTATACTGCCATATGAAAGGGATTTCAGAACGAAAGGAGCGGACGAGTTTCATACAGACCAGTTTATTATGGCTATTCACCTACAAGACTTCATATTTATCCCAAATTAGCGCTGTTTTGCCCTTCCAGTATTTCTCGGGGGTTCTAGGTAGGGGTTCTAGAGAGCCTGAAAGCGAATTCTGCCTGTGCTAAAGTGAAGCAGCTAACCGAGCTAAGGTGGATTATAGCAGACATACAGTCTAACTTCCTGTTTTGCAGCCCAAAACATTCGGGTGGGATTAGCAAGAACTCTTTTCATTCCGTGCGCTATTCTCTGGTCTGTATTACCGGCCAGCTACTTTTTTAACTGTCGAAACGTGTCGAATTAGATTTTTTTGGATGGATCTAAACTGGAAGGTAAGCAGAATGACTGACCGCAACATTCACAACTACACTGCTGTTAGCTGGCTGGCTAGCGTTAGCGTTAGCTAGCCTGCTAACTTGGCTAACCTTCTTCCGAAATGATGTAGTCGACCGCAAAAGCCAGCTGTCGGGTTTTTTGTTTGCTTTGTTTGGATCCATTTTTCAAAACTGACCCAGAAAAAATGTTCAACGAGGTGAGTTTATGAAGAGAAGCAGACACGGCGGCTCGCTAATGGCCAGGCGGATAGCAAGGTTAGCAAGGCTTTGCTGTTTGGCACAGAATAGAACAGAATAGAGCTGCTGGTTAGCTAGACTGGACAAGTTGTTTATAAGGCTACAGCGGTTAATATAATAAGCTATAAATGGTGGAGAATATCGTTCATAACTTATAACAGCGCGGACGGTTATAGATTATGCTTGTGGCTTTTTTTTTTCGAGACCATTTTGAACTTGAAACTGGATGCAGTTCTTTGCCACTCAGAAGTCTATGGGAGGTAATTGTTGCAGCCTCTTAGAAGCTCTTTAAGGAAAATAATCGCACCCAATTCCTCACAAAGTGTGCCTGGTGGTCTTGAAACTACAGCTAGGAAACGTACAAGAAAAGAAACCCCTGATTAACAGCCTAGACTAGTGTTTCACACCTCCAGCGCTAGTCCACCTGCACAGTTTCATGTTTTACTGCACCTGAGTTTCGTTAGCTTAACGTTACTGATCAAGTCTTCGTGGAGTTGAATCAGGAGAACACGAACCTGTGCAGTGCAGATGGATATGCAGGAGTTGAGCTGGGAAACGTTGATTTAGACTTTACCTGTTTTAGGATTTAACTCAAACGAAACTCCTAGACGTGGCTGACTTTGTTCAGCCAGCCAAGCTAGTGAACGGTGGTCTGGCGGACTTTTTCACAGCAGTTCGCCTGGATTGAGGACGTGCACTGTATGGCCAAAAGTGTGTGGACACCTGAACATCACCCCTATATGAGCTTCTTGGACATCCTATTCCAAAACCATGGACTTTAATATGGAGTTGGATCCCTGTTTGCAGCTATAACTGCTTCCACTTTTCCGAGAAGGCCAGAGTTGGGAGTGTGTCCGTGGAAATTTGTGCCCATTCAGTCAAAAGAGCATTTTCAGGACAGGCACTGATGTTGGATGAGAGGGCATGGCTCACAATCAATGTTCTAGTTCATGCCAGAGGTGTACAGTGAGGTTGAGATGAGGGCTCTGTGCAGGACACTGGAGTTCCTCCGCACCAAACTCACACCTGCTGGAACAGAACAGGGCCTTCTCCAAGCTGTTGCCCCAAAGTTGGAAGCTTATAATTGTCTAAAATGTCTTTTTGTGCTGTAGTATTAACATCACCCTTCACTGGAAGTAAGGGGCCAAGCCCAAATCCTGAAAAACAGCCCCAGGCTATTATCATTATCCCTCCTCCACCGAACTTTACTGTTTGCATTATTCATCCCTATAGGCATCCTTTAGTTTTTAAACACCTCAGTGTCACTGCTGGACTGAGAATAGTCCACCAACCAAAAAATATCCAGCCAACAGCGTCCTGTGGGCAGCGTCCTGTGACCACTGATGAAGGACTAGAGGATGACCAGCACAAACTGTGCAGCAGATGAGCTATCGTCTCTGACTTTACATCTACAAGGTGGACTGACAAGGTAGGAGTGTCTAATAGAGTGGACAGTGAGTGGACACAGTGTTTAAAAACTCCAGCAGCACTGCTGTGTCTGATCCACTCGTACCAGCACAACACACTAACGTACCACCACCACAACAGTGTCACTGCAGTGCTGAGAATGATCCACCACCAAAACATTACCTGCTCTGTGAGGGTCCATGGGGGTCCTGACTACTGAAGAACAGGGTAAAAGGGGGCTAACAAAGTATAAACAGATGGACTACAGTCTGTAACTGTAGAACTACAAAGTGCACCTATATAGTAAGTGGAGCTGATAAAATGGACAATGAGTGTAGAAACAAGGAGGTGGTCATAATGTTATGCCTGATAGGTGTAGGTCAGACGTCTGGTTCCTATCTCCATCGCTGTGAACAACTCTGATTCTAGGACAGCATTTCACATCAAACCAATCTGTATGACTCTTCACATCTCAGCCGTTGAAATATGCAGACATTTTGAATGGACTGTTTTAATGATTTAATTATGCAGAAATGTGGAAAAATTGGTGGAATGTCCCTTCAACTGTCTCATCTAAGTATCTCCAAAGCCAGTTATGTTTCTTCAGCATTGAGCGGCTTGACTTTTCGCTATCCATAGATGATCCAATATGGGAATTGCTGCTGATGCTGATATTGTGTATTTTTAATGTGCGTATCTGCCATTTAAAATGTTTTTATATGCGAATATTCAGTATAATCTCAGTGTTGAAGAGGCAGCTTTCCATCTCAGTCTTGTATGTTGTATCTCAGTCTCAGTGTTGCTATTTTTATGTGTTGCATCCCCGTCAGACTGTGTGTGGGAGACCTTATCTTTTTGTGCCCGACTTCCAGCTGAGTATATGGGATGAGCCCAGGCTGATTTAGTTTTCATTTAAGCCGCTTACTCGCACAGACAGAGCAATAAGGCCGCAAGCTCCCACCACACCGACAGGATTTGGCTGAAGTCATTACCATTTGGGATTTTAATGTGCCATAGGGTTTCTGTTTTGTTCTTTGTACAGCGTAGGACACAGCCCTTATTATTCACATGTTGGGCTGATCACACTGGGCCTATGCATGTGTAGGAGTTTTGCGAATAGCGAGTTTCTGTCGTTTAGGCTTTATTTTGCTTTGGTTTTAAATCATTTTAAAACCTTTTCATCTCCTTGTTTGTATCAGGCTGTAATGATAAATGATAGAACTTTTATTTCAGTACCAATATATGCACATATGGATTGAGTACTGTCATTATATGCTGTTACCTGCGCCTCCTTGTACATTCATTATTGCACTGCCTTTTTTATCTCAGGATAAATCGAATTGCATATTTTTTGTATTTCTAGTTGTATATATGCCTGTAGATCGTTTTTTTGTATATATTCTTCTTTTTATATTGTACCACCCTTATTATTATAACTGTCCTGTGTTGTGTGACTGATACTGGCTGCTAAATCTCCTTCGGGATCAATAAAGTATCTATCTAGAACCACTAAGTACTAAAAATTGAATCTTCAGAACGTGTCATTTGTATGTGCCTATCTGATTTGTTTCTTTTCTCCCTTGAAATTATATTGGAATTTAAAACTGTATTGCCAGTTTAGTTGCCCCCTCAATCTCTTTCGAGTGTCTCTTATTTTCCGTCTTTCATATAAACCACTGTAGGTGATCAAAACTAGGCATCTGGGGCCGTATTACAGAAACTTCTTATGTCTGAAATCCCTGAATTTAGGACAGGAGCTATAACAGAACAATAGTTCTTAAGTTCATAATCTCATCATTAACTCCAAATAAGAAAACAATATCGCAGAAACATCCTAACTAGACTAAATCTCCTAAATTCTGTCCTAACTTTAAGATGAACCCCAGAGTGTCTTACCTTCTCTTTTAGTCATCTGTTTCTATTGTTTTATGCAGTGATGGGCAGCACAGTTCACTATAACCAGCATAATGACGTTCCAGTTATCTACACTGAAAACAGTGTTTAAAACTCCCAGATGCTGCAGACATGATCTCCACCGTCCCCTCTTAATACCTTCGTGTGTTAATGTGGATGAAAACTCGTCAGATAAAATGGTGAAAAATGAAGAGACAGAGCAGAACTTCTGTCTGTTTATTAGGAGGAATAACGTTAGCGCGCTTGGCTAAAGCGTTTGGGAACTGAAACTGAAACTGAGAGCGCCGACGCTCTGATAAACAGCACGAAGCGCTGAAACAATATTCTCAACTTTCAGTTTATCACGCTTTAATTTTATTTGACCTGTTTTGTATATCAGTAACTGTGGCTAGCTGCCTGGCTAACTAGCTTAATAACTTTGATTACCCGTTGGTTGCTAGGTGACACGCATGACAGTTGATTGTCGACTACGATCGAATATGTAAAGACTTCTTAACCTGAGATAAGAAATCAACTATCAGTTTTAGCTTTCGCAGTTTTGGTGTGGATTTTATTAGCATAAAGTACAGCAGCTATTAAAAAAAGTTCATTTTAAAAACATCTGTTTTTCTGAGCCAAATCTTAAAGGGGAACTCCACCGATTTTGCAAAATTACTTAATTATTCAAGCGTTTAGATGTAAACAGAATCATTCAGAGTGGTTTGGATTGAAATGGGCCTTATAGAGAAATTTACAGAGTCAAAATTGTTCATCATTGTACTACTAGGAACCAGACGTCTGTATGTCTGCACTACGCTCTGCTACCCAAAATGACCAGTGATCTTACTGTCTTATAAGGTTTTATATGTCACGCTGATCATGGTTAAAAAGTGCTATGTTCAAAAAAAAAAAAAAAGTTTTTTGGGTACTTTTTTTTCCCTTACATTGCCCTGTGTGTACCTCTCCGCCCTCCGTCCCTCTTCTGCTGTTTGGGTTGGTGGCGGTTTGTCACAAAGTGTCAGCAAAGCTCAGAGATTATGTGAGTAACGTTGTTCATCAGAGGAGCTGCGACAGATCATAGTTGCGCCTCACTGTTGTGCCCCGTAAACTGGTGAGCAGAGTAGCAAGTAGTTTGTTGGCGACACCGTTAATTTCTGTTTGTTGTGGGTTCTTCTGCTTTGGCACCAGTGGGTTCTCTCTTTCTCTCTCTCTCTCTCTCTCTCTCTCTCTCTCTCTCTCTCTCTCTCTCTGTCTCTGTCTCTGTCTCTCTCTCTCTCTTTGTCTGTCTCTCTCTCTCTCTCTCTCTCTCTCTCTCATCCAAATCAGTTCCTCCTCAAATTCACATTCCCTTTGACTAATCAAAGCCGATGCATTCACTGAACAACACTAGAACAACGGAAAGCCGAAAAGTTAATTTGCCTAAGATAATGTGGCATTAAAATTCCATGAAAAATAATATTTTCAATTTGAGTAAACAACTGTACTGATAAATTTTTGTACAGTTCGTCACCGATTGGGTGAAAACAGCTGCCATACAAACCATTTTTGAACCTTTTCGCTTTCCGTAGTTGCAGTGTTGCTTGGCGTTGTTATCTATTTAGTGAATGCGCCGCCTGCGGATCTGATTAGTCGCAGGAAACGTGAATTTTTGAGGGGATGCGGTTTTGATAGGAAACGTGGAAATAATCCTGGAGTAATATTTTTTTTACTAAAAATACATTTTAGGCCAAAACCTTATAACAAAACTATCACAAAATTATGCCTCAGGTATCAAGCAACGCATTTATAACCACTTTGTGTGATAACCTAAAGAGATGTAGCTGGACGTCTGGTTCCTTGTACTATAATGGTGACCAACTCTGACTCTAAATTTCTCTAGAAGGGTGGATTTCCCCTTTAAGGGGACACATAATTGTTGTTGGTGACCTCAGAATCTAAGATTCACCTGTAAATATGTGTATTGGTTCATCCCCATTATATGTAATGCAGTATATCTATATGTGTCTTAGAGAAGAGCATGGACAGCTCAGTGACCCTGTGGCAGTTCCTGCTGCAGCTCCTCCTGGACCCCAGCAATGACCAGCTCATCTGCTGGACCAATGAGGACGGGGAGTTCAAGCTGCTGCAGGCGGAGGAGGTGGCCAAGCTGTGGGGGGCTCGCAAGAACAAACCCAGCATGAACTACGACAAACTGAGCCGGGCCCTGCGCTACTACTACGACAAGGTCGGCGTTTCATATTGTTTTTACTGATTTGAAATGTTCATTTAAATAGGCTGTAGGAGTGCTGGGCAGTACATTGACCATTACCGTTATTATTGGTGTCACATTAGTGATATTGATTTTTAGCCATAGTGGTACTGATAGATAACAAAAACTCAACTGCAGTGTTGTTCCAGGTTGTTTCAGCAGAGCAGTAAAAAAACATGCAAATTAAATAAATGTAAGTTTCCTTTCTGGAAATGTGGTTTCTGGTATCTGGTAAACCTTTAGTTTGGTGTAAGGTTCCCTGTGGTATTACTTAAATTAACATTAACATTAATCCTTTAAGACAAAACACAAATTATTTAAAATAAATTCGTTTTTTTTCTCTTTTTTTAAGAGTTTTGTTATTGCGTTTGTGTGGTATGTAGGCTATATAATGTGATCCAACAAAGCTGAAAATGTCATTTTTTTATTTATTTTGTCTCACAAACTACATTTTTGATCCAGAAAACACACAAATAAGAATATTAGTCATCACTTGCATTTCATCAGTACTCTGTATGGCTGTAACAATCATAAAATATCAGCTGATGATTAATTACCCAATAAATAATTGTGTAACTTTGACTTGTTGAGATGTTCAGGGATGCAGCACACATGCTCTAGGCTAACATATAACATCACTGTGGTAAAATTGTATCTAGCAAATAGTTTACGAGCACAGTTAACACAGTAAGATTGTAAAATGCAAACCCTGTATTTAATTTTTATTTTTGGACTGCTTGTAACGTTGCTGGTTAAGTCAGCATGATTTAGTTCTTGCTTCAGTAGCTGCTCAGTTTAGGCTACGCCAGGCTACTAGTTTAGGGTAGTGAGCTATTTTGGTGATTAGATTGAAAATTAAAGAAATTAAAAATTAAGAATTTAAAGCTCTATTTTGTTACTTTCTCATAACATACTACAACCTAGTCAGTCAGACAGACAGTCAGACAGACTGTCAGACAGATACATAGAAAGTCACTGGGAAGAGTTGAAGAGCCTAATGGCTCTGGGGACAAAGGATCTCCTGAGATCACCTGCATGAGACAGTTCACTGTTAACCATCATATTAATGTTATAGTGTCATGTAGCTATTTTGTCTCATTAACTGTATAAATAGCTGCCTTTCCTGTTAGCTGGGGTTTAGTACAGGCAGCCTTTTATATCGTATGTTTAATGTGTGCTTTCACAGTAATCAGTGAGGACAGAAGTGCAAAAGAGACGAGCAGAGAGAGAGAGAGAGAGAGTGAGAGAGAGTGAGAGAGGTAAATTTCAAAAATCAATGTAAAACTACCACTTGATTTAGAGTAGGTTTTACCATGTATTTTCAGCTGAAAATAAACACACAACAGTTCAGTTGTCAATTAAATAGACAAACAGAGTAACTGGAGTCAAATTAGTTTATGGAACAGTGATAGCAGTTTATGGAAAAATGGAGGGAAGGAAGGAAAAGATGCATAACAGTTACAGATGGGTAAAAAGGAGCAATGATTTGGCAAAAAAAAAAACAACAAATATATATATATATATATATATATATATATATATATATATATATATATATATATATATATATATATATATATATATATAAAATATGTTATGGCCCTGCTTGCTAGTCATTATTATATAGTTGCACATACAAACACAGACACACACACACTAACAGCAGGCCATGTAGGAGGAGAACAGAGTGAAGGACACAGCACCTCCACACTTTTACTCCCCGCAGGTTCACCCAACACCACATGTGTAATATAAATGTGTGGGGGGTGAACAGAGTGAAGACACTGAAAATGGGTTATTTTATATGTTCTTCACAGAAAATGAACAAAGACCAAGAATCTGAGGTTGAAATAATAATAAATCACATCATTTTTCTTTTGATAAACATTGAAAAAGGGTCCCACAGACCTGAACACCACACAAGGGTTAAATAATTACAGTTGTCTCAAATAATTGCAGTCATTGCAAATAATTGAGATTAGACGATTGTGACAGTTGTGACAAGTCTGATACTCAGACTAAACAAATCAATAATAATTTATATAGTGATAAACAGGCCGTTTTAAACAGGTTTAATTGCTGGCGAGAGGCTGTGTCTGATTAGGTTATTACAAACTCATCTGATACTGCTGAAATGTGATATCTGGAATATTGTGATATTGAATTTTATCAATACTGAATTTTACTGCACTTGGGTTCCATCATTAGCTACTCACCATGTCTTTCTGGAGCTAAATTAGGTGTGTTAAGGCTGTGAAGCGCTGATTATGGTTTTGCCTAGTTCAGTAGCTCCATGATTGGCCTGAAAAATGAATCTTCAAAAGCTGTTATTTGTCTTTGGAATCCTATTTAACATGCATTTGTAAGCTAATGCACACACTGGCATAACATTTGTTCAGCAGTAGCAACAGAGTCAAAATAATACGCCACATCTGTTTGTGGGAATCGTTTCTGTCCTGGTTTGTTATGAAAACAAGCATATTATTATATGTATTTAGATATTTTATTAGCATGAACACTTCAGAATTATAGGATATTATATTTGTAAGGTCTAATTGAACATCAGTCATACACTTAAAAAAGAGAGAGAGAGAGAGAGAGAGCATTGCTCAGAGCATACGTTATTTGCCAAAGGTGTCTACCAGAATTTTGGCAGCTTTCCAGCTCTGTCTTAAGCTGCTGTCTTTGCATCAGAAGTATGTTTTACGGCAGTGGCAGTTGGAGGCTTTGTGTTTGTGGCAGAGGCAGGTTTGTTGTGTTTTATTGTATCTGCTTCGAGCAGGAAGTGTTTGCACTTCTTTGTCCTTGTTGTGTGTTGAAATGGGTGGAATAGAGCTTGTTTAGTAGGTTTTAGAGAAGACATGATACCACTTTCCTTTTGTCGATGCTACTGCTGGGCGATATGACCTCAAATCAAAATCACGATTAATTGAATATTTCACCTCGAATGCGATTAAATGAACAATTATTTTGTTTTTGTTTTTTTTGCCCTCATAGTTCACCGACAAGGTTTGTACTGTAAATATGTTCTGCATATCTTAATGTAAACCGTCTCAACAGCCAGATCGGAATTCGCGTGGCTTTTACGTCAATCCAACACGACGTTTGTCATAATTTTGCGCTGCTGAGACTCATAAACATTTGGGGTGATATTTCTGTGCAAAAATTAAGAGACTCATCCAAAACGCCTCCATGTTTAAAGGGATTTTGAAAGAGATGGCCAGACACAGCCGTAGGACAGTGAGGCTGCAGCGTCAAAGAACTGTTAAAAGCCTGAAAGCAAAGTTTAAAGAATCCGAAGACACGAACCAAAGAAGTGACCGCGCCCTTTTTACGGCCCGAACACATTCTGGGTGATGAGCCCAGCTGTCAGTCAGTGAAGCTTCATGATGGCTCCTGTGATGCTTGTGAAGATGAAGCTGAACCTCCGGGAGCGACTGGCGTTCATTCATAGGCGTGATTGTTTACCTCTGGATGAGCCACATAAATCATTGTTCTTTCGCGCATGCGGGTCGGTTTAGGAGCTGATCTGTTCAGACTGATGTCGCATGCAGATCACATTTAAAAGATAATGTGAACAGCCCAACAAAAAAATCGGATTTGGTGAGAAAATCAGATTTGGGCCACTTTTACCTGCTGTGTGAAAGTAGCCTTAGCTTCGATGTCGCAGACTGGACGTGGCGGAGTCACATGACTACACGTGCGGTAGTAGGTTTTTAAGGGGACAGTACATGAACACACAGAGTGGGGAAAGGATTAACAGAATTTAAAAAAAAATCTAAATAACCGACATGGGCAAGATTATGTCGTTTAGAGGTTCTAAATGTTGGTTTTGATTACTTTTCGATTAATCGCCCAACCCTAGACGATACCGATATTGAAACCCTATTGGACGGTACCAGTACCAATCTGGGCTCCTGGGTGGCGCAACCGTCGTAAGCGTTGGCCCCATCATCAGGAGATCACTTGTTTGATCCGTGGTGATGCTACAGCCATCCATGGCCAGGAGTCCAAGAAAGCACAATTGGCCTCACTCTCTGGGTTGGTAGAATGGCCCCCCGTCTCCCCCCCATCACTCAGCGCGATGCTAGTCAGCGCAGGCGTCCGTTAGCTGACGTAACAGATCTGGCGGTTGGCGCTTTCCTCCAAGCGCATTCGGCTGTCCAAAGATGTGGTGACTCTTCACAGGTCTCGGTGGAAGCCTGTGCAAGTCTTCACTCTCCTAGCGCTGGTGGTATTGTGTGATTTGGGGAGTTCTAACTAGTGGGTAGAATGGGATACGATTAAATTGAGGAGAAAACTGGGTAAAAATAAAAAAAAAAATTCTAATGCAAAAATTTAGCTATTTCTTACATTTATTCTGCTTTTCTTCACTCATCACATGATTTCTCCATAACGTCATTGAGCTTATTTGATATGTAAACTGTGCGATCTTACAAAGCTGAAAATTTTTAGATTTTTATTTAGTTTTGTCACGTCCAGGTTTACTTTGGTTGTTTAAAACTGGTTCTTATTAAAAATGAAGAGCCATCCCTGAAGAGTAATGCACTGTTAATTTACACGAATAATTTTACTTAAGCGTCTGCAGAGAAGTCAGACAAAAAAATAGTTTTGTTTGAAAATAAATATATACCGTGATTATATACTGACATTTTCAGAAATGTGAATTATAAGGTCATATACATTTTTGCTTACAACCCACTGCTAGTGTGAGTGTGTAAGTGGTTTAACTTTTGACTCTGTAGAATATCCAGATATTTAGGCCGACTGTTTTACCACCTGAGGTCGCTTTTGGACCTTATTTTTATTGTATGGCATTGTTTGAATTCCAGTGACTGGGTTATGAAAATGTTCTCAACTATTTTTGGCTAAGCATTCGTGTTAGTTGGGATAATGTACACTGCGTATGTACAATACAGTGAAAATGTCTATCCTTTATTCTGACTTTGTTCATAACGACTTTGTTGTGCTCTTTGTTCTTTTGTGGCTTGCAGTGGTAAGTAGGTGGTGTTTGGAGCAGGAAAAAAAACTTGGCCTCTGTCGTTTTCCTCAGTTTGCAAGGTAATTAAATGTATTCCTTAGGTGTGAGAAAGGGTAATTGCCCCCTCTAGTGAACAACCCAATTATAGAGATAATTAAGAGACAGCTGTTGGTCTACTTTAGTAATCAGGTGTAATTTGGATCAGCCCTGCTCTGCTCAGGTTTGACTTTGTCCCTCTTCTTTAGAGTTTGCAACTTTGGCAAACATCTTGCATAGAATATTTCAGCTTTGATCCCTCTGAACTTTTACATTCTTGCGTTCCAACCTGGGCATAACATTCAAAATTGGTTAGAACAAAATGAAATAACAACATACTTATGCGTTCACTAGTAGTGTAATGAGCTGCAGTTAGTGCACAGTTAATGAGCAAATAAGCTGTGAATTAATGAGAAACTAAAGTGTCAGTTAACAGCTAAGTACTTAATCAGTAAGCAGTGCTTAAATGAGCAGTTAAGTAATGCATAAATTAATGTCATTGTTTATTAGCATATAAGTATCAATTAATGAACAACTTTTAATGTACAGTGTTACCAAATAAAGTAGTAGGGTTGAAATGCTGTTAGACCCAGCAGTTGTGTTGGAACTGATAAGGTTTGTGGAATTTTACTGTGATAGAGCCTCACTTTGCTCTCAGAACAGCCTCAGTTCTTTGTGGTATGGATTCCATAAAATCTTGGAAACATTGCTTTGAGATTCTGGTCCATGTTGACTTGATTGCATCATGCATTTCTTGTAGATTGTTCAGGTGCACCTTCATACTGTGACTCGCATTTTGCTACATCCCAAAAGTGTTCTATTGGGTTCTGATCCAGTGACTGGGAAGGCCAATGAAGAACACTGAACTTACAGGTTATGAAACCAATTTGTGACGACTTTTGCTTGGTGACATGGTGCATTATTATGCTGGAGGTAGCCATTAGGAGATGGTAAATTGTGGCAATGAAGGGATGACCATGGTCAGCAACAATACTCAGCTAGGCTGTGGAGAAGGTGATGCATGACTGGTATTAAGGGGCATAAAATGTGCCAAGAAAACATTCCCCACACCATTACACCACCTCCACCAGCCTGGACTGCTGACACAAGGCAGGTTGAGTCCATGGATTCATGCTGTTGGCACCAAATTCTGACCCTACCATCTGTGTGCCTCAGCAGCAGTTGAGATTCATCAGACCAGGCTGCGTTTGTCCAGTCTCCACCTGTCCCCATTGTAGCCTCAGCTTTTCTGTTTTTAGCTGACAGAAGTCAAGTAAAAGTTTATTTATATAGTGTTTTTTACAGCGGGTGTTGCCAGAAAGCAGCTTTACAGAAAAATCCGGGTCCGAGCCCACATGAGCGTCGCCAATGGCGACAGTGGCAAGGAAAAACTCCCTAGAAGCAAGAGGAAGAAACACTGAGAGGAACCAAGACTCAAAAGCGGAACCCGTCCTCCTCTGGTCGACACCAGATAGCAAACAGCATTAATATAAAATATTAGGATGCAAAAACGGGGAAAACAGGTGGAGCAATTATTAATTTGATAGCATAAGTTTATGCAGCAGGAGCAGCATCATCAGGAGGGTCGAAACGGTGCAGATCAGCCAACAGAGGTGGAGCTCTGGTGCCAGTAGCAGCTCTGGTGGCTCCCATGTGGCGACTCAGGCAGATGTCGCTCAGGGGCTGAGAGAGAGAGAGAGAGAGAGCGAGAGAAAGAAAGAGAAATTGATTAACAGAGAAGTGAAACTCAACGTGGTCTTCTGCTATTATAGCCCATCCTTCTCAAGGTTTGACGTGTTGTGCACTCTGAGATGCTTTTCTGCTCACCACAAATGTGCAGAGAGGTTATCTGACCTACCATATCAGCCCAAACCAGTCTGGCAATTCTCTGTTGACAAAGAGTTTCCGTCCACAGACCTTCTGCTCATTGGAGGTTTTTCTTTTTTTGCAACGTTCTCCACTCCAGAGACTGTTGTGCGTGAAAATCCCAGGAGATCAGCAGTTACAGAAATACTCAAACCAGCCCAGCTGGCACCAATAATTATGCTATGGTTAAAGTTCACAGTTTGTTCCAGTTCTGATGGTAGATGTCAACATTAAACGAAGCTGCTGGCTAATTAGATAATTGCATGGATGAGTAGGTGTACAGGTGTTCCTAATAAAGTGCTCAGTATGAGTGTGTGTGTGTGTGTGTATATACATATGCGAATATACACCTCCATGTATTTACACTCATCCATTTTATCAGCTCCACTTTCATAGAGGTGCACTTTGTAGTTCTGCAATTACAGACCGTAGTCCATTGTGTTTCTCTGCATACTTTGTTAGCCCCCTTTTAACTTGTTCTTGAATAGTCAGGACCCCCACAGGACCACCACAGAGCCGGTATTATTTGGGTAGTGGGTCATTCTCAGCACTGCAGTGATACTGATATGGTATTACTATGAATGATATGCAATCATGTATAATAATCAATGCCAGTTTATTCAGAAGGTGATCAGTGATTTTTTTTTTATATATTTTTTAAATTGAATAATCATAACAGCCCTAATGTTTATTGGTGAACTGGTGGTGATTCTTCTTTTCTCTTCTTCCTCTCCCAGAACATCATCAAGAAAGTGAATGGCCAGAAGTTTGTTTACCGCTTTGTGTCGTACCCGGACATCCTAAAAGGTGATGTCATGGCCAGAACTGAGGGGGCTGGTGAAGGTGTCACAGGATGCGCGTCCCTTGCACTGCCCGACAAAGCCACCAGCACCTTGAGGGACAGCAAGGACAACAAAGCAGCAGGAGAACGGGGCTCTGGAGCTCAAGGCCAGCCAAAACCCTCTAGTCGGAATGACTATATCCACTCAGGTCTGTACACCTCCTTCACCCTGACCTCTCTGCAGTCAGGAACGCAGCTCTTCAAGTCCATCAAGATGGAAAATCCTGGAGAAAAGCTGGCTGAGAAGAAAGCGGCCCAGGAGCCTCCACAGCCATCTTCGGTCATTAAATTTGGGACTACTCCTCCAAGTAGACCTTTGCTGCAGGCTGCAGAGAAGCCAGCCCTGCCGGTGCATCCCCTCCAAGCCCCACTCCAGATGTCCGAGCCCGAGAACAAGCAGCCGACTGGCCAGCCTGTGGTATGCTCGCTTGATTTGGCCACTGCCACAGAGGCGGCTCCGGCGGCTCTCCCTATCTCAGGGATTTCTCCTCCGCTGCCCTGCCGCTCGCCCTCCCCCAACACACTGACTGACTCTCAGGAGCTGGTGATCGACACTGACATCGAGTCCATCTCCTCCCAGCCCTCCGAGCTTCAGCTGCAGGTAAAAATTGAAAGCACACATTCAACCATTCGTAGGGCTCAACAGCAGTTTACAGGCTTTGAATACTCACTGTTTTTTCCAAATCATCCTTAAAAACAATAAAACTTACAATCCATAAGTAACCATAATTTTAAATAGGGATGCACCAGTAACACTTTTTCCCTTCCGCTGATACCTGATCCTTGAGTGTCGGCCAATACAGAGTACCAATACCGATATGAACTGTATTTACCCGACTTGTTTATAAGTCCTGATATTTACACAGTACTTCTATTTATACAGTATGCTTTTTAAAAATATTTCAGCTCTGTTGTGTGTCACTAATAAAAAATATGAAGCTTGAATAAATGGTCTTTATTTGGATTAATTGGATAATATATATAATTATACATATAATTATACATATAATTAGTATTTACTGTTATATAATTAGTAACAAACTGAGGTTTAACAACTGAAGTAATTTTTTTTATAGTGCAAAGTAGTTAAAAACAGAACTGAACAATATATAGATACACCTGTGGTCTGTACATGTAATCACTTGGCAGCTGATCTGACTCCGCAAAAACGGTGCTGAATGTTGTTTCACGTCTGAATTTGTCAAGTCATTTGACTTATTTGTGCGTTTCATTCACTAGCGCTTACGTCTCCGAGTGTCAGACTCTGCCAGAGTAAATACTAGTCGGGTTTCTCGGCTGTGTTGAAGCAGAAGGCCATGAGACCCTGTTGCTGCCTGATTTGAGTTGGCTAGCGAGCTGCTATGCTAAAGGCTAAACCAAGACTAAAGAGGGCAGTGGATCCTTCCCTATGTCTCTCTAACGTTCGCTTCCTCAATAACAACCTGTTCTAACATGAACTGGCTACACAGTGGGAGATGAGAATTACTGAAAGAAGCCTGACTCAGCCCTTTAGGTAAAGGGCTGCCATTAGCGTCTTTTACGATGATGATATGTTGCGTCATCTGGTGTATTTGTGGCATATCGGTGAAAACAATAACTTGGGATGAATTCCAGCTGATATATCACTGCCTGCTACTACTTTCCACTGCTTTTCCGACTCTGCCATGAGCGTTTTTACTGTTGCTTGTCAACTCACACAGCCAGCGTGTTAAATTTCGTATTCTAGCGCATGCTTGTCAGAAATTGCTTTGAGGTGTTGGTCAGGCGTGCCGTGTTTAAGTGCCGATGCCGTCTGATAATTTAATGGCCCACAGGGAAAGCGGTGCACTTTGTTGCACTCTGAGTCAAGGTGCAGTGGATGTCTAGCTTGACTTGACGAAAGCGCTGGACAGTAAGACAATATTTATCATCATTTTCATGATAAACTGTGTCACAATACGTCTCAATACTTTTCTGAGTGTGTCTTAGATATCATCTCTACTTAAAGAATATGGACCAACTGCATGTTTCATTACAAAGAGAACGCAAATGTTTTATTGGATTTAGTGCAGCACAGTGTGCACCAAATGGTGAATACAATTCAGTGTGTTCCCAGTTTTTGGTAGCATTTTTTTAAACGCAGCACTAGTGGGTCTTTTTTGTCTGGTCCAACTTATGTATTCTGAAAAGTTCTTGAAGTATTGTGATATTTTTTTGCCAGCTCTACTTTATAATCCAACAACACCAGCTATAATTCATTTATTTGTAACATTTCCCATTTTGTAGCAATAACTGTTCTATTTAACGTCATTTGCTGATGAAATGTCATGTAGTTTCATGATGGTTTTTATTGCTTAAAAAAAAAGAAAAAACTTCTGAAAACTAAATAGAGAAATTAAAACAAAAATAAAGAACAAATACATAAGCGTTCAAATTATTCAGGCCAGCCCTGGAAATAACAAGTATTTGAAGCATTTGTCATCATAATATTCACCCTTTTATTGATTATTGATGATAGAAGCTTACTTGGATTTAGGGCTGTCCAGGTTGCCAAGTGATTGACTAATCATTTGTAGCATTTCTGTCTAAGATACTGTCAGCTGGCTAATTGCATTTACTTTTAATTTTTTACATTTTTGTAGATATTTTGCAGAAATTTTTCTGCAAATATCGATTAACTAACCTTTAGTTGAAAATTGTGATTACTATGAAAATCCTTACAACCCAGTTTAGATTCTGAAGAGCTCTGAGCACTAAACTTTCTGAGTGTTTCTGTGTTCAGGTCCAGCCCCCTTCTGTGTCCAGTGACACCATTCAAACACCGGAGTCTGGATGTTCCGAACTGTCGCTGTCTCCAGCCCGCAGCCAGAGCGGCAAGTCGAAAAAGCCCAAAGTCCTTGAGCTGAGGCCAACACTGCTGGTGACCAGTTCGGACTTGAGCCCCCTCAACCTCTCCAGTCCTTCCCTGCCCACGGCCTCTCTCACCCCAGCCTTCCTGCAGGTCAGTACCTTCACTCCATCCTAGCCAGGGTTTACTGTCTTTTATTTTAACCCCCTTAAAGGCTCATTTTTAAAGAAAATCACGGTTTTTGAGTTACGGATCAGATTGTTTTTTTGGATCAGAATAAAAAAGTAAAGAAACATTAAGAAAAATTAAAGCATGAAACTTTTGCTCATGTTTAACGTTTAAATCATCAAAATAAAATAATCAGTACTCATTTGTTAAATTGAAGTTCAGTATGAGGCCTGATGAAAACCTTTTTCCAGTACATACTGTGAAGGTTTTGTCCTCCAAGCTTTCTCCACCATCAGTAAATGTTACAGGGAAGCCAAATAAGCTCCTATACATGTGATTTAAATGATGCAGGAGGCTTTTCAACTTCTTCCTGTAGTCCAGCAGCCATGACTACTGTCCCTGCTAACTGCTTAGAACATGCTTCGTTCATGTGACACACAGCGGCTTCATCTGTCTTTCCACTGCAACTCCATCCAGATTTAGACCACTATCACTTTAACTGTGGAATCATTTCATGCCAATAACTAAGTAATATATATATAAAATATATATATATATATATATATATATATATATATATATATATATATATATATATATATATATATATATGTGTGTGTGTGTGTATATATATATATATATATATATATATATATATATATATATATATATATATATATATATATATATATATATTTAGGGCTGTAACTGAATCAAAATTCTGTCAGTCGAATCAGATGTGGCCGTTCAATACAAAGATTCAATTATTCATTCGTTTTGCATATAGATTATCTAAAAGAGAGAGAGAGAGAGAGAGAGAGAGAGAGAGTGAGTGTGTGTGTTTGTGTGTGTGTTTGTGTGTGCGCGCGCGCGCGACTGCCTCTCGTCTCGTATCAGACGCTAAAGAGCAGTCGGTTCCCTAAAGCTTTAAAACTTAAACTAAAACACTGACACACAGTAATAGCTGAGAAAGCCCTCCTGTGTCAGACTGGACTGCTTTTATTGTCATTTCAGCCTCAACTCAATTTCTATTAATAATAACACAGATAAACAGCACTGTTGTAATATTATTTTACACACACAAACACACACACCACGATTTAATAGTGTAACTAGCTCTAATAATAACAATCATTTAAAAAATGTGTTGAAGGAAAGGAAAAGGCGGTTCTAGTTTTGTGATATCTGTTTTAAAACGGTTTATTTGGTATTAGCTTCTATATTTTTTAATGGTTTTGTTATTTTATTTGTTTTGTTTTTTGGAAATTCATAGCTTACATTTTTTCCATTATTTATGTTGTATTTAGAATTTTTATTTTATTTTATTTTATTTATTCATTTAATTTTTTTTGGCAATACCGAACAGTGATCTTTATGGATCACAGACTATCCGTAACACCACTAGTTGTAGACGTTATGACCCCTGGTTACTTTCACCATCACTGTAAAAAAAATCTGTAAGTTTCTCAACAATTAAACATTTAGAAAAAGAAAAAGAGTGAAATTCTACAATTCTTCACTTTGATAACTGTATAACTTGCATATTGGTCTCATATCAATGACTAAATAATTTATAGTAGTTACTAAGTAGTAAGCGTTATGAGTAATAAGTAAGTTTAGCTGCGGTTTAAACGGTTAACTCCATCTAGTGTCATTTTTTTCTAGGTGGCTTTGTGATGCCTTGAACTCTTGTTGTTTTCAGGCCTCTGTTTTCAGACACTAGATGGCAGTAAAGCACCAGTCATTACAGTTATCTTTGCTTCTGGATTTGAAGGCCCCCTGTGGATGGGTACTTACATAGACAGGGTCATATGATGAAATTTGGCTGAATGTAACTTTGATGGATGACCTCATTAAGGCCGCATAATGCCTGCTTTTATGAGCAGCTATACGCTCAGCTTGGAGGACGATCCTCCGTTGTCTTTTACCCATCACACTAGTTAGATGACGGATGAGACACTGTATTGTCTTTGATTTTGCATCGTCATGACACAGGGATTCCTTAACGTCCACTTTAGCCTAGATTTTCTGTGTTCTCCAACGGTTCTGTTCACAAACTATTAGCCTAAGACATTGTTTTGTGTCCACCTGTGTTCATATATTGCTTTCTGTGCTGAGAAGTGTTTATACTAGATCTGAATAGAGGTCATCAAATACTCACTTGTGTTGTAGCAATACAGTCTGAACTGTTAATTGTGAGCACAAACACCATCATGCTTAAAGTATCAAAGACGTAGTTTAGCAGTGCACATATATGGGAATTGTGCGCTGATGCCGATACTCCATATGGTACCACTTTAAAATAAGACCACCCTCATAAAGCATTTATGAATGGTTTAAAATGAGTTTACTAATGCTTATTAAGTATCTCAAACACATTAAATTTATTAATAATATATGAATGCAGTTCTAACACATAAATAAAAAGAGAAACGCCTGTTGCTTGTCAAATAGTGAGCCCACATTCGTCTACGATTCGGATCTTGGTGGTTAATTATTTCACTTTGTCTTCTCCATCAGTCACCACAATCAGAAATGTCAGAACCTGGCAGCTTCATCAGACATTTGTTAGTAAAATGACCACCAATAGGATGTCTTATTAGTTAGAAATGAGAATTTGGCATATATTAATATTTCGCTGTTGTCGGAACAAAAACTCATATCTCCAAAATGGTGACTTAACAGGAGAACGAAAAAACATACTTTACCTTTAATGTAAGTCAACGGAACCAGACTTTTTTCCGAGTCATTTTGAGGCATTTCTTTTCGTCCGTTCATCATGAAATTTACATACAGTGTGAAGAGCAACAGGTGTTTCCAAATTATGTCAAAAACTAAAAAACGTCAAAAATGGAGATACGTTTTTCTTCCGACAACAGGCTAGACACATTCTAGCCTGTTTACCTAAATAATATATATCTTGGTGAATCATGCATTAACTTCTTGGTGTACCTAATATGAATAAAACACCTTGAAATACCATTTTTAGCTTAATATTTCAATTATTAAAGCAATGTTTAACTAAAACTGTAGTCTGATTGAATTTTGACCATATGATGCAATCAGAAATGGGTTATACAGTTTATCAGATGTTTGATATTGAATGTTTGTCATCAAAATTCATCAAATTAGTTTTTATTAATCATGTAAGTCTATTGTTTTTTTTTAATTAGAAGAATGATTAGTGTTTTTTTTTTTTTTTGTCCTAGACGCCCCTGCTGCTCACACCCAGCCCTCTACTCTCCAACATCCACTTCTGGAGCACGCTCAGTCCAGTCGCCCCTCTCAGCCCTGCCCGCAGACAGGGGGCACACACCCTCTTTCAGGTGAGTAGAGCGTCAGTCCGCCAGCTGTCTTCCTCCTCCTCCTCAGTGTACTTTATCACCTCTTTATGTCCTCTTATCTCGTGTTGTTTTTCAGTTCCCCTCTGTCCTGAGCTCCACCCAGATATCCGTACCAGTACACAGTCTAGACGGCACCAACACACCAGGTCCTCTCTCTCCAGACCCACAGAAGACCTAGATAAAAGACTGCTGGTGTCGGTGGGTTTGCCTCTGCACAAACGTGCATCATCCCCAGCCCCTGTTTTTATACATTAAGATGCAGATGCAACCTCAAGCCTGTTGACCAAATTTGCCCCTCTTGCGGTAAAGAGGACGAGTATTCAAGATATTCATTGCAGGTTATGGGTTCTGCTCCTGGAAGGTTCTCTCTCTCACAACATCCTCTTTGCTCAAATGGACAAGAGGTAATCAGAGTGTATGTGTTAGATGAGCACATACTTCCCAAAGGATTATCATTAACATCTGTTGTTTTGGTTGCATTTCTCTGTGCTATCTTTATCGGAGCTGAGGTTGGCTTTCAGCGAATCAGCATACTGACTGACCGTGCTGTAGTTTAGACACAAAAACATGGTTGTGTTTTTTATATATATATATATATATAAACATGGTATCAGTGGAGCCTCATTGTTCAAAGACTACATGATGTTCAATCAGGATGCTCTTCGTTGAGCTTTGTTGGAAAGGAGTTCTTTTTATGTATTACAGTGATTCTCATGAGGTGGGAATATTTTCTTTCTCTTAGTTTACATCATGAGGTATTATGAGGGGGGTGATTTTAATCATTTATCCAGTCTAACCATGTACCACCTTTTCACCTGCCTTTTGGGAGAAACTGTCTTTGCCAAGCCAAACCTCCCCTTCTTTGCCTTCTAACTTAGGGTGACACTTGCTAACTTTTGAACAGACTTTTTCCTCACATCGCACCTGTTGCCATATATTTCCAAGCACCTTGTCATAACTGCCAGAAGAGCTCAGATCAGCCAGGCAAAGACGCACATAGACACAGAAATAGCTGCACTAACATCATCTCAAGGACTCTTAGAAATCTCTTCAGAATGCCTAGAGATTATAGCCTATAGTTTAGTTGTGGAATAAGAGACCACAAGGATCAGATGCTTATTTTTGTATCTTTAGAAGTGCTTTCAAGACTGTTCTAACGGAATATATTATAGGAATTACAAATGAGGTTCAGCCATCTAAATGAATGTGGGCATCCAAATTCATAAACTGTATGATGGACATGTTAAGAATCTATTATAAATTTCACCTACAGAAGTAAAACAGAAAGGAAAATAAGCCTTATGTGCATACATATGTCAAATATCCAAATATACTTTACCTTTGTTTTGGTGCTTTTACTACGACACATTGAGAAAATGTGCTAATTTCCAGCAAATTGCAGATTACCGCGCGTGTTTAGCTAAGATTACTGCAGTGTTTGTCTCTTTTGCAAAATTAATTATTTTCCAGTAGGTAAGCAAGCAAATGCCATTCATTATGCTCCTTTGGCATATGATCAAATACAGGAAATTGATATTTACTTGTTGCACAGTGCAAAACCCTACCTCTGAAACTCAAATTAGGATCTCAGCAAGCCATGATTAAAACTGACAGCACTTACTCAGAAATGCAAAACTGGATAACGGCTACACGAAGCCGTGACAAAACATCACGTTACTCATTAGTTCAAACCATAAGTGTGCACTTGGAAAGCAGCATTCGGAGAGGAACTTGACTTTACATAGTCCTTTATTACTGTACCGCTTGAAGTGCAGTGGTGAGAGGTGGTGAAACATTAAAAAAAAAAAGAGATATGAAATAAAATAGAAGCCATTAAGCATCTCAGAAATTGGTCTCAGGAATTTTAAACGCTTTCCCATAGCACTTAGCAAAGCTATAGAGCTCTTGGGGCGCTTTCAGACCTACCTCGTTTGGTTGAGTTTTTCGAGTCCTGGTGCATTTGCTTCCTTAGTTAGAGCATGTTATTCGAGCTCGGGCGCGGCCCAATTAAGATGTACTGCGGCACTAATCGAGGTGTGGGCTGTCTCTCAGATTGACCCCCAAGTGCATTACTATGTATGGATGGAAAGTGAGTCACCTGATTACTTCATAAAGAGATTAAATAGACGAGACTACCTGCTCAACTTCTATAGCACAGCCAAAAGCCAAACAACCTCACAGCGTATTACACATTTAAACATTGAAAATTACAGGGAGATTCACTCGAAAGAGGCCCCAAATATGCGAACTAGTAATAATAATAATGTGCAACTAGTAGTAATAATTCTCATTTACATATGAATCTTAAAATGGATGCCTATTTGGCAGATTTCAAATTTTTGTTGTCGGTTTGATTCTCGGTTTAAGGCGCATGTTTACTACATAAAAACAAGGGCTTGATTTTTTTTTTCTCCGACATCTGATAAAGTCGAACGGATTGAAAATATACTGTTAGAAACTATGAATACTAGGGATGCATCGATACCAATACTCGTCCAATATATCGGTCCAATACCGTGCTCATTTACTCGTACCGAACCTCAAACATTCACCAAGACCGGCTGATACCATGTGACATAAGCCGAGTGTACAATAGCGCACTAATGAACAAATGACTCATACAGAGATGTGTAATGGACTCCGTTGTGGTCAGACACAAAGCCAGTGGTTACATTCTGCCTTGACATATTCACACCAGGAATTCACTGTGATTTTTAGCCCATTTTGAACACTCACAATCACAGCCACTTCCGCAACATAGGTGGAAAACGAAAAGGCAAAAAAGTCAACATTTGGTTCCGAAGTCCGTATATGCCGACTTTACCAGATTCACTGAATAGAACTGCGAGGTGTAAATGTTTATAGGTTTTATCACCAAATCTGATTTTGGGCTGTTCACATTGTCTTTTAAATGTGATCTGTATGCGACATCAGTCTGAACAGATCAGCTTCTAAACTGACCCGCATACGCAAAAGAACAGAGCGTCACGCTGCTTCACGGCTCATCCAGAGGTGAACAATCATGACTATGAATGAACGCCAGTCGCTCCCGGAGGATCAGCTTCATCTTCACCAGCATCACAGGAGCCATCATGAAGCTTCACTGACTGACAGCTGGGCTCGTCACCCAGAATGTGTTCGAGCTGTAAAAAGGGCGCGGTCACTTCTTTGGTTCGCGTCCTCGGATTCTTTAAACTTTGCTTTCAGACTTTTATCTGTTCTTTGACGCTGCAGCCTCGTTCTCCTACGACCGCGTTCGGCCATTTCTTTAGAAATCTCTTCAAACACGAAGGGTTTGGATACGTCTCTTCTAAATTTTTGTAAAGAAACATCAGCCCACATTTTTATGAGACTCAGCAGTGCGAAGTTATGACGAATGTCGAGTTGGATTGACGTAAAAGCTACATGAATTCCGATCTGGCTGTTCAGACTGAGTCGCATTGCCTCAGATCGGATATGTATTGGATTTTAGTACCACATATGAAAGCGTCTCAAATCGGAATTGAAAATGTCAGATTCAGTGTGTTTATCTGTTCACACTGACACAGACACACATCTGTGTCACGCATGGAGAAAAAGATCAGATTTGGGCCACTTTCACCTGCTGTGTGAACAAAGCCTTAGTCATAGGCTTTGTCCGTACATGATAGCCTATTTAAACCCACAGTGCGAGTCACCAAAAAAAAAAAATCCTAGAATCACGCAGTGTATGTCTGGCTTTAGAGGACATTCAACTACAGCTGAGCCATCCAAACAGAAGACCCTAACAAGACGTAAAACTCCACAAGCTCCTCGGATGCATTGGTCTGAGATGTGATTCCTGCGGTCACTGTGCTGCAGAGGCTGTTGTTGAAAGAGACGGATGGGGATCAAAACTTTGAAACGCACTTTATTTACAGCTGTACAGAAACACTTTTCTGATGTGGAACAAAACCTGCTCTTCTCCACTTCCACTGTAGCACTATTTGATCCAAGGGTGCTAACTTAATGTACATCATTCAAAATCAGCTGTATTTTAACAGTTTAATCTGTAAATTATATTGCATTCATTTACACTAACTAATACTTAATTCTAAGTTATGGTTATATTATGGTATCAGCGAGTACTAAAAAAACATATCGCTGCTGTCGGAACAAAACCTTGTATCTTAATTTTTGTCATTTTTCAGTTTTTGTCATAATTTGAAAATGCCTGTTGGCCTTTACATTGTGTGTAAATTTCATGAAGAATGGACCAAAAGAAACGACCCAAATTGACTTGGAAAGACGTCTGGTTCCATTGACTTACATTAAAAGTAAAGTATCTTTTTTCCTTCTCCTGTAAAGTTACTGTTTTGGAGATACAAGGTTTTCTTCCGAAAACAGCGATTATATTCGCATTAGGTCTGAGAAAAATGGTATCGATGCATCACTAATAAATACAGTGATTAGTATTCAACATTTCACATAGTAAGCTTCAGTAAATCAAATTAAATGTGCCCTCCAGTTAAATTACACTCTCTTTGTAGTGAAATGTGCAGTTGCATACTAACAACACCCACATTATTTAAAAAAAAAAAAAGCTCATTGAGACACAATAATGATAAATAGTCACATTGCATAGCCTTCCTAGATTGTGTTTCTCCCACCATAGTAACAGCATCAAGGTTCGAACCCAAACTCAAGGTCTGAAAACGCCCCTATGCCAGGCTTACACTGTGCAGAAGTGGCACATGACTGTCACCAACAGATGTTCTGACTGGTGGCTAAACTGTGGATCAGATGTGGTTTGTTGTATCATGTCAGGGAGAGAACGGCGCCTCATAAAGATGGACATTCTGATGGATTTCTGACGTTTTTGTCCCACATTATGTTGGGCAGTTCAGCCATGCAGTGCGAAAGGTACCCTGATGTACAGTGTAAGCCAAGCATCTGTCAAAACAGTGACACTCACTTCTCACTAGAGACGTTTCAAAACTACCTTCCCAGAAATATTTATTAACGTGGTAAAATCCAAGACGACTTTATTGACCAAGTAATAACTTCAATCACTTTTTCTAAAGCACTTTTTGTACATTTCAAGTGCAGCTTGAAGTGCTGGAAAAACAAAGACACTTTATAACAAAGCATGGTAGGAGGAAGCAGATACAGTGAATGAATATAAATACAGTGTAAGCCAGCGAAATTGAAAGAAATAATAATAAAAAAGGAAAATGGATAAAAAAAAAATCAGAACGATCAACAGTAAAGCAGCAAATTCAACAAAACTAATGTAAAAAATGTTTTAAAACTTTTAAGAGGGTACATATTTGTTCCAATCTGTGTCTTGTTTGACTTTCTAATAAGAATATTTTTAAGCCTACGCTTCGGAAGTCTGAAATTCAAAACCATGCTAATGCGGTGCCTTAACTGAATCCATTTTCTGCTGCCAAATAAGACGAAGCTGATGGAGGGGAAAAGGACTATTTCTCAGTCCGCTTTGTGGTCAGTTTCCTGGCCTCTGGTGCTTTGGGGAGCCAAGAACTAGAAGATTAACTTGAACGGAAAAGATGAGTGTTATGGATATTATGAACATAGCTGTAATATATGCTAACGACTCTGTTCAAAGCTCTTTTAAAACTGATTGGTGAAGAATATTCATTCAGTAAGTACATGCAGTTATGGATTTTCAGTGTCTGGGTGTTTGGGACCTGTGGCCACTTCCATAAAAGGTCTTAAGTTAAATACTATAGGGATCAATTTAAAGCTGAAAATTTAAATTTTGCACGTTTGAAAAACTTAACTGTGTTAAACTGTCTAAAACTCAACTTACATTATTATGGATTTTTTTCACTTTCCACTTAAGTATTCCCTGAGGAGCTCACTCAAGTTAAAGGGAACACTTAAAGGTGGCCACTTCCATAAAAGGTCTTAAGTTAAATACTTTAGGGATCAGTTTAAAGTTGTAAATTAAAATTTTGCATGTTTGGAAAAACTTAACCACGTTAACCTAAACTGTCTAAAACTCAACTTACATTATTATGGATTTTTACACTTTCCACTTAAGTATTCCCTGAGGAGCTCACTCAAGTTAAAGGGAACACTTAAAGGTAAAAATTCACTTAAGATGTTTTATGCAAGTGACCTCTAAAGTCTGTTTTTGAAAGTGATGCTTACAGATGCTTCTCATGCTACGTTTACCTTGAGATACCTTTCCCCCCCCAGTTGTAGGAGATGTTAAGTGGCGCGTGTAGAGATGTTGTAATATTAGGCCTGTTGCATTCGTTTTCTCTCACTCTTACAACCTGCTGTTTTCCAGAGATTAAATCCAGCTCATTTTCATAAGCATTCCTAAAGCATTCATTCAGCACATGACGTCTGTGCACGGGGCATGAAAGCAGTGCGCTGTGCCTACAGATGCCGTTCTTCGTGCAGATGTCAAGTTGCTCGGTGCCCTGTGAATGTTGAATATTATTCCGTGACTGTGGTGCGCGATGGGAAATTATCAGGGTTTATGCCTCTGTAATGCTTTCTGTTAACTGCTCAGCCACCTCGTACTTTGTGATTGAAAAAAATTAGCCACCTTTTGTCAAAAAGGAAAAAAAAAGTGAATATTTGACACATTTGTATTGTTTTTTTCTACTATTTTGAAATGTCGTTCATTTTGTCTTCTCATCTGTAAATATTTTAACTGTACTTTTGTTGGTCGGTGGTCTGATATCACATTGTCTGTTTCTCGTCTCTCGTTCCCTTTTGATCTGATTCAACTGACATTTGTAGCATTGCCAAATGTATGTACTTTTTTTGTGTCTGTAAAGCTTAATATTTTAATGTTTTCCCTAATAGCACTTAATTTTTTTTTTCCCTTCATCATTGAATATATCAGCCTATTCAGATTTAAGACTGGATACCTCTATTTCCCTGGGAAACAAATTAGGAATCTATGCACCTAATTCCTTTACTGCACAGCTGAGACATTTTACCGAGGTTTTTATATTTGCTAGCGAGAATTGTACTTATATTTTATGGTTCTTGAGCCCTTAATCAAGTCATAAAATCTATTTTTCTCTTAAGAATTAGATTTTATTCTTAACAGAATAGTTTATGAGAATGCCCTATATTTTACTGCCGTTTGGACAGATAAAAAGGCAAATTTAACAAACAGTACTGCCCCCTAAAGGGGATGCACAAGTTTTAAGTGCAGTTTTGTTTTTTTTATAGGAGAATTCCACTTTTTTCAAACTCTCTGCAAAAAAGTCATTAAATTACCAGTGTCATTTGTTTGATGTGCAACGCTTTGTTTTAGAGAAACTTAACAATACGAATCGTTCACAGTGGTGGTGAAGGTAACCAGATGTCTAATGCCTCTAAATGCTCTCTCACAAAGTGATTATTAATATGTTGCCTGATGTCGGATACATCGAGTGCATTTACATGATTATTCAAATGGTCGTGTAAACAGCACACTTCTTATTTCTTAGATCGGAGTAAGGTCTAAAAATCCGATAATGAAATCTGATAAAGAGGCTGGATTTTAGCTCAGTAATCAGATTTTTCAGTGCATGTAAACTCTTACTCTGATTTCTTTCGGATTTCTCAGTCTGCGCATGTGTGAAAACAGACCGTGATACCAGAAATAAGCAAGCAGCGTCGCCACGAGACGCAGCGAAACACTTTTGGAACGACGCTGAAACCAAATATACTTGACTAAAATAAGGATTTAAATATTGTTCATCTTCTAGATCAGGAGTCGTTCATTAAAATTCAATAAAGTCCAGTTTCCTGAACGTTTCCTCAAGCAAAGGTCCGGAACATCATAATGTCTAGCTTGCATTATGATTCAGTGCCATATACTGTAAACCGAAGTAGCCTAGTAGGTATATCAACATCTTATACAGTCAACAACTGAATATAAAGTACAGTT